GTGGGGCGGCTTTTTCATCCTTTGCACGCTGATGGAGGTCGCGGCGCTGCTGGTGGTGGATTCCCTGCCGCTGCCAGACTGGGCCCACAGAGCCGAGTCCAGTCTCTGACTCGATCGGGCGGCCACCAGGGAGCAAGACCGACCCAGAGAGGGGGCTCCCGGGGAGCTTGCAGAAAAAGATCGGCAAATGATGCTGGCAAGCGGCCGATCCGTGCTCCAGGTGCTCATCCTCGCCCCCCCCTCTCTCTCACAGTTTAACGTCAAACAAGATCATGAAGATGGTTAGCCTTCTTAAAGGGTACCCTTTCATCCGTGCATCTCTGGCCCATCCTCAGCACTTACCGCTGGAAATCTTATTCCAAGGGCTTCAGCTTGGGCGTCTAAGTTCATCGGCATCCTTCTTCTCGCATCCCCATGACTGTGGCGCGCTGTGATCCTCTCTTCGAGATCGGAGGAGGACAACGATACAGGTCCACGCCCATTTCGATCCGATTCGATATCGATTCCAGCCGACTCGATCTGATCCGATTCCGATGTTCAAGCGATCCGATGCGGCCCGATGTGTGCATGGCGTTGTTGTGCATCTTGCTGCGGTCGAGCCGATTCGAGTTCGATTCCGTGCCGATGCTGTCCGATCCGACGCCCATTCGAATTCGGTCAGATTTCCCGATTCGATGCCGACAGATCTTGCCTCGTTCCTCCCGTTCTTTCCTCCCAGGGAGGAGGAAAACAGACAGAGGAGGAGGACGAGGAGGACGAGGAGGTGGGAGCGAGCTCAGGGGTCTGGATCAGTACACTAATGTATGACGCCCCAGACAGCATTTCTTTCCTCGACGGCTGTGGGTACTCATGCGCCTAGGCGAGCCGAAAACGATGAAGAACGCACGGATGAGGCTCTGCGCCAGCGCCGTTGCGAAAGTGCAGCCAGGCAAAAGAGCCCGGAGGATGGTAGAGGGTTTGGGTTTTCTTTGTTGTTCGGTATATTATTTTCGCTTGCTTTCTATTTGATTTGTTGTGTGTAAACCAAAGGTTGCCTTATGGCTGTTTTGGTGTACCTCTGTGGTGTTTTCGAGTGATCTCGAGTACACCAAAGATGTGCTTCGCCTGGTGGTGCGCCAGACGACTCCTCGCATCGCCTTGGGGCCGCGCCGCGGTGGGTTGTCGCCCCCGTCTCCCAGCGCCTTGCGTTTGCTTCGGGGCCTCGTTGTCGGCCACGAGAGGTTGTTTTTTGATTGTCGGACACAGATTTGCGGACCCTTGCGAGTCGAGGAAGGAGGTGCGCCTGTATCAGTGTTCGACCCGTATTGGAGGCCCATAGTTTGGACAGGGCGAGCAGCGCGGCCCTCCAGGAAGTGACATGGATGCCGGTGTCGCTCTCTGCCCCCCGCCCCCTTTCTGCTTGGGTCGGTTTCGATCCGATCCCTGCCGACCCGATGCAACCCCGATGTTCTTCCGAGCTGGCGAGGCCGATGCGATCCGATTTTTATTCCCGAGCCGATGCGGCCCGATCAGACGCACGTTCTGACCTGGTCCAGTTTTCCGATTCGATGAGGCCCGCTCTTGCCCTCTCTGGGCGCCGCCAGTCTATGCCCTTCCGCTTCCCCCGCCCTTCCGTGTCGCTTTTTGCCTCGCATCCCCGAGCGGCGCTGATGGGAGAGCACAAGGCCGAGGGTTTTCGTCACTCCTCGCCCTCTTTCTCCTCGCCCTTCTCCTTCTTTCTGAACGTCATCATCTCGTCGAGGCTTGAGAACGACTACGCCAAGAGCTGAAACAACACACATGTTGGGAACGGTTACGCACACAACTGTACGGCACCACTCACCGATTCCTCCTTCTCTTTTTCCTCGCAGTGCATGTGCATGTTTCCCGGCACAGCAGTGCGCATACACATGTAGTATAATATATATATATATATATATATATATATATATATATATCCGCCCTCCTTTACCGCGTTTCCCCAAACAGCTGTGCTAATTGGGGTCCCGTTGTGGTAGAAGCTAGTTCTTGTCAAGGGGCCAGCGCTCAGAGACATCTGCCGACATCGGGGTTGGTCTGGCTAGGTTCGCCAGCGACGTCGTCGCAATTCTGGGTTCGAACAATGCCCTGAACTGAGATTGTCTGGCCAGTTTGGCTCGACACATTCTCACAATTCTGGGCTCGGAGATGCCGGCGTCCCGCATCTCATGGCTCAGAGATGCAGCGCGCGAGGTTGTCCAGCCAGTTCCGCCAGAGAGATTTGGGCTCGGAGATGCAGCGCGCGAGGTGGTCCAGCCAGTCTCGTCAAAAACATTCTCGCAACTCTGGATGCAGAGATACCGCGTGACATTTTCTGGCCAGTTTTGCCTGAGACATCCTGTTCCTGCTGAGACGTCGTCAGCTGCTGCGCGAAAGATGTTCTGGCCAGTTTCGCTTGGGACGCTCTCGCTTGTCTGGGCTTGGAGATGATGTAGCGTGCGCGGCCAGTTTCGCCTGAGCAGTTCTCGCACTTCTGGGCTCCATTCTTGGGCTCCGATACGATCTGACCTGAGGTGGTCCGGCCAGGTTCGGCTGCGACATGCCGCGCACGCGGTGATCCAGCCTGTTTCGCCTGAGACGTTCTTTTTGTTTCTGGGCTCGGAGATGCAGCGCGCGCGGCCGGCGTCGTCTGAGTTATTCTCGCAGCTTTACGCACCGAGATGCCCTCATCTCAGTGGTTCGACCAGTTTCTCCTCAGACTTCCTCGCAATCTCGGCCTCCGAATTGCCGCTCGCGAGGTAGGCTGGCCCGTGTCGCCAGAGACGTGCTCGCAATTCTGGGTTCGGAGATGCCGCGCGAGAGGTGGTCCAACCAGTTTCGTATGACACATCCTCGCAACTCTGGGTTCCGAGATGCTTCGTGCGAGAGGTGGTCCAGCCTGTTCCGCCTGCGATCCTCGCAACTAGGATCAGCGACGCCGCGCGCGATGTGGTCTGGCCAGTTTTGTTTGAAACATTTCTCGCAACTCTGGGTTCCGAGATGCTTCGAGCAAGGTGATCTGGCCAGTTTCGCCAGTCGGGCTGCCAGAGCTGCCAGGAGGCATGTCAGGAAGCTCACGCCGAGCGTGCCCGCTCGCTTGCGGCGCACGTTGCCTTGTCGACGTTGCACCCCAATCCGGATTGTGCCAGTTCTGGGTTGTGCATGAAGGAGCGGCTGCCCGCGCGCGGGCAGGCGCCACTCCTTCTCGGTGGATTACGCTTCGCTGGGGCGCGCAGCACCCCCAAGCCTTCGATTGACCGGCGCCTTGGCAGGCGATCGCGGCTGCGCGTTGCGCCTGTTGCCCGCTCGTCTAAAAGACCCAATTCGCATTGTTCGAAAGGGCCATTCGCGCCTACTACGCTCGCCGAGAAGCTCCTTGCAAACGGCATCGCTTGCCCCAGGCTGACAGCCCGCGTGCCCACGGGAAGTGGAGCGTGGGATTGCATGCTCGGGTCCCCGCCCGGCCAGCGGTCCAATCGAAGCTTCGGCGCCCCAGGAAGTCCTGGATTCTGCGCGCGTGAACGAGTTGGCCGCCACGACCTTACACATGGTCTGGCGGGACCCTGATTCCGCGCAACGAGATTCAAGCGGATCCTTGAACGGCGGGCCGCGATGCAGCAAGTTCGTTGCTCCGCCGAGACTATTTGGCAGCGGTCGCACGTTGCGGCATGTCGTGCCGGGATTTTGCGGCGGGTTGCAAAAGATACGTTGTTTTCAAGTGTTTGTTTGCGGGGGGAGTTTGCGAGCGAAGTAGGCGGAGCCGCGCACGGCCGACGCGAAGAGGAAATTTGATGATGACGAAACAGCCCGTGAGGAATACAAGCGTTGACGAGATATTTAGCACTAGTAAGAACGCGTGGATGCGACGTCGCTGTAGAGGGGGCCGAACCATAACCTGGAAAACGGAGGGGGTCCAAAGGGTTGTCCACGGGCTTGTCCAAGGCTTGTCCTGCCTCAACTTACTCTTCCCCATGTGTCCTCCTCAATGTCCTCCTACTGATGTTCCTCCTCTTCGCGCGGGAGAAGCGCCAACGATCGTCGCAGCCAATTTCGCTTGGTGCGCCGTTTGCGTGCCAAGCCCCGCGGGAACCAAGTCAAATACCACCGTTCCGAAGATCACCACGTTGTGCTGCGCTCGAACCGTGGCGTGCAGGAGGTGATCCAGGCGCCGATGTCATGAGGAACACCAAAGCGCGCAGCACGCGAGTTGCTTCGCACGGGGGCCCATTCGGGGACCGCCGCCACAGCGGTGAGCTGTCCAACCCTGAAGGCCCCCAGGAGATCCCAAGCAGTTCCCAAGACGCCCCCCAAAAACCCAACGAAGTCCCCAAGAGGCCCCCAAGAAACCCCAGGAGGCCATCAAGAGGCCTCCCAAAGTGCTCCCCCAGACGCCCTGTGACACCGTTGCCGATACCCCACGCCGTCCCATCACCACGTGCCAGTTGCATTCCATGTTGTGCTCGCCCGCCCGATTATTCACCACCCACCAAACCACCCCAACCCAACCCGAAAGCTTCAATTTGCCCTCCATTTCCAGGGGGGGTCGGGGATCATCGAGAAAACACGTGTGGAACTCGTACCCCCCCCAACCCGAAATTCGGGTCTTCGGGTTGGGTTGGGGTGGTCTGGTAGGTAGTCAATTATGCTTTTGTCACGCGTCGTCGTCGTCGTCATCGTCGTCAGTGGTTTGGCGAATCCAACAGAAACGACCAATAACCAACGGGAAACCAAGCAACCATTCAGGACTGAGCACTCGGGATCCGAAGAACCATCCAGGACTGATCTCTCAAGTGCCGTTTAGGACAAGTTCTGCACGAGTAGCTGTGTGGTTTTGTCGCCCCGGGCTTGCAGCATCTTCCACGCGGCGTTTTCCAGCGGGTTGCAGCCCAAGGTAGCAGCTCATGCACAGCGCTGGCCGCTGCATCCCTGGCACGTTCTGTTGTACACAAGCAGAGAGGAGCTCCGCGGCAGGCAGCATCGCGGCATCTCTCTTTTTGGGGGGCGTCGTGAAACCCTGTTCGCCTCAAGAGGGACCCCAGAAGGGGGAACACGAATCGTCATTTCGAGCTGTCCGCCCCTTGAGGCCCCAAAGTGGTCCCAGGCGGTTCCCAAGAGGCCTCCAAGAGGCCCTAAGAAGTCCCCAAGAGGCCCCCAAGAAGCCCTAGGAGGCCGCAAGAGGCCTCCCAAAGTGCTCCCCCAGACGCCCTGTGACACCCTTGCCGATACCCCACGCCGTCCCATCACCACGTGCCAGTTGCATTCCATGTTTTGCTCGCCCGCCCGACTATGCTTCTGTCACGCGTCGTCGTCGTCGTCATCGTCATCGTCGTCAGTGGTGGGGCCACCTGGAGGGCCTGATGAGCGTCTGGCGGTGTTGTTTTAGCGATTCGGTGCCTTTGGGGGGCTGCCCAGCAAGTCGCTTGTGGCGTCTTTTGGGCCTCTTGGACAGTGTGGCGCCCTGGAGGGGGCCTCTGAAACCGTCTCGGGGCGAGCTTTCGTCCTTCTGGGGCTGCTGTGGAGCGTCAGGAGGCCGAAAAGTCGGAATCCAACAGAAACGACCAATAACCAACGGGAAACCAAGCAACCATTCAGGACTGAGCACTCGAGATTCGAAGAACCATTCAGGACTGATCTCTCAAGTGCCGTTTAGGACAAGTTCTGCTCGAGTAGTTGTGTGGCTTTGCCGCCCCGGGTCAGCAGCATCTTCCACGCGGCGTTTTCCAGCGGGTTGCAGCCCAAGGTAGCAGCTCATGCACAGCGCTGGCCGCTGCATCCCTGGCACGTTCTGTTGTACACAAGTAGAGAGGAGCTCCGCGGCAGGCAGCATCGCGGCATCTCTCTTTTTGGGGGGCGTCGTGAAATTTCCTTGGAGCGTCTAGGAGGCGTTCTGCGCCGTCGGGAAGCTTGCGTGGAACACCTTGGAAGCGTGGTGGGTCATCTGGAGGCGTTTGCGGGCGTTTGGGGGTGATTTTTTGGCGACTCGGGGGGGAGTCGGGGCGCGTAGGGCTTGGAAGCCCCAGCGCCTTACTATGCTTTGGGGGACAAGAACTTTCATTGCTGACGCCAATCAGACCAGCCAGCCACCCGCGGGGCCACAGAATGGGGTGTCGCCAAATGGGCAATGGGACGCTACGCTGCACTTTGCCAGAGAGGCATTCGGTGGAGCGAAGACTTGTGGCCACCAGGAATACAACGCGCGCGAGGAACCTTACGAGGCTTCAGGCGGTGACCAGGTTCACGGCTTACCGCCTGCATCCAGTTGCTTCGAATTTGGGGTTTCGGTGCCAACCAGGCAGCGATGATTTTGCGATCGATGCAGATGGGACGTCCGCGCTCCCAAAGGAGCGGTGGAAATTGCCATAGAGGCGTTCTGGATAGCGCGAACATTGGGATGCCGAAAAAGTATGTTGTCAAGTTCGATGTTCCTGTCTGTTCGTAAGGTGCTCCCTTCCGGGGCCCCTGTCGATACGAAGCTCGTCAGGGGTCATCAGGATGCTCTTGCGCGGCTCGTCGGTGGTCTTCATGAGGCCGTTGCAGCATGGATGTAGCTCCGGGGGCCACACTGCAAAATCCACAGCCATTCGGGGGGCTGGCCAATTGACTTCTCTGGCAAACGTGCAGGCCCAGCCAATGTGGAAAGAGGAGGTGGCTAGCGCATTTGGCAGTGGGGCCCCATTGTCAAATAATTTGTTTGGGGGCTAGGTCTGGGCGGCCAATGAAGTTCGATTATCGATTTGACAGCGGGGGCCCACAGTCACATGGACCATCGGGGAGGCAGGCTGAGGCGCGGGAGTTGAACTCGATTGCCCATTTGTCAGTGGGGGCCCACTGTCAATCGGGGGGGTGGCGAGTCGCGGGACTTGGTCTCCGATTGCTTGTTTGATTGCGGGGGGACACATTCACATGAGCAATCGGGGTGCTAGGCCGAGGCGGGCGACATGAGCTTCGATCACCCAATTGGCAGGAGGAATCCCATTGTCAAATGGGTCATCGGGGTACCCGATCGCCCTTTAATAATGGTATCCCCAGTGTCAAACAGGGAGTCTGAAGGGAAGTGTGGCCATGTGACCGTGGGGATCCCATTGTCAAGCGGGCAAAGTTCGCTCAGCACTTTCCGCTGCCCTGTCCGGGGGGATAATGAGGGAGGGGGGGAGGGGGAATCTCACGCGCCTTGATGACTCCAAGGCGGTCGACGGACTCCCCGACTGCCCCACAAGCCCGTTGCTATCCGTCAGAATGCTTGGCACCACGCGCTAAGGGTGGCCTACGATCGCGGCGCTTCTCCTTGACTGAATTCGGGTGCGTGGATTCGTGCAAAACTTTCCGGTAATGACTGCGGAGTCGGCTGGACTTTGGGCAAGCGTAATTAGTGCGCGCGTGGTTCTAGTCTAGTAAGTGTACATACATTCATCGCATCTCCAGAGAGACAGACAATGAGGCCACGGCCCCGCCCGCCTAGCCTTAGACTGGCCCAGAGGATGCTCCGCATTGGTGGGTCGCTCGCTCACTCCTCATCATCTCCTTACGCCATTGTTAGTAGTATTGACAGCCCGTCACCCATATCCTGGAAGGTTGAGATGTCACCCGAAAGCAGGCAGTAGCTGGATGCTTCGAATTTATGTTTGGCCGTGGTGGCGAGAGAGGGGTCTATTGGCATCATGTAGGGGGGCTCACTGGGCAGCTTATTCGGGACGGCGAGTCAGGCGTGGCCGTAGTGGCCAGAACTAAATGTTGTGGCTGCATGTGGCCTGAGCAACGAAAGCACTCCTGTGGGCCCGTGCCAGATTCCAAATTCCAGCGCTGGTCCCGAGATGATGGAATTTCCTTGCTTCGTGTGTGGGAGCGCATGTGCAATGCTAGCACTTGCTTGGTCCGTGTTCATGCCAGTGAGCCCCTCAGGCATGAAGCCTTTTTCTGAAAGTGGGCCCGTACCATTTGATTGGTTCGAGTTGCCGCCAGCGCCCGAGGAGAGCTTTCTGGATGATCATGGGTCTGACCCTATCGACCCCGATCACTGGTGGGATTTACGGGACTGACGGTGCTGGAGGGTCATGATTTTCCCATCCTGTGTTACGCCGTGTTTCGTTTAGTTTTGCCCGTTTTGCAAGTTCGGGGTAACAGTTTTCTAGATTCATGGTGTTACAGGCCTTTGTGATAACAAGTGCCAGATTGTTCCGAGTGTTGTGTTGATAAGACGGGGTGAGGTTGTGCGCCATGTCAGGAGAAACGAAGCTCTTATCCGTAAGGGATTCGCCCCCTGCTTCCGGCCCCCTCTCTGTCATAATTGGATATGAGAGTCGCGCCGGTGCGTCTCGGCGCTGCCTTGGCGCATCTGGGAACACCATGCGGGGGCGGATAGAAGTCATCAACGCATAATGAGACGTTGGCGTTATCGGCGTTATCGAAGACGCCTACGGCGAATCACCGCCGCCCCCTGCCCCGTTGGAAGCGCCTCTGTGGCCGACAGCTGGGCCAGAGCTTGGCCGAGCTTTCGGGCCAGTTGTTCCCCGAGTCGGTTTGGAAAGACTTCGGGGAACGCGTGGGGGGGCAAGAAGAGGAGGAGGGAGGGGATCAGGAAATTATCCTGGCGAAGGACCCAACCAGATGCAGTTGCGAGTACCGCAATTGTGAGTATCTTCTTCGATGGCGCTCCCTATGGGGCCACGAAACGTGTGAGGGGTGTGCCGAAATCTGTGCGGTGGGCGCATGGGAGCGCAGCCACTGGGGCCTTCGCTGGAGCTCCCTATGGGGCCACGAAACGTGTGAGGGGTGTGCCGAAATGGGTGCGGTGGGCGCATGGGAGCGCAGCCACTGGGGCCTTCGCTGGAGCTCCCCATGGGACCACGAAACGTGTGAGGGGTGTGCCGAAATGGGTGCGGTGGGCGCATGGGAGCGCAGCCACTGGGGCCTTCGCTGGAGCTCCCTATGGGGCCACGAAACGTGTGAGGGGTGTGCGAAATGGGATCGGTGTATGGGTGTGCCGAATGGGCGCATGGGAGCGCAGCCACTGGGGCCTTCGCTGGAGCTCCCTATGGGGCCACGAAACGTGTGAGGGGTGTGCCGAAATGGGTGCGGTGGGCGCATGGGAGCGCAGCCACTGGGGCCTTCGCTGGAGCTCCCTATGGGGCCACGAAACGTGTGAGGGGTGTGCCGAAATGGGTGCGGTGGGCGCATGGGAGCGCAGCCACTGGGGCCTTCGGTGGAGCTCCCTATGGGGCCACGAAACGTGTGAGGGGTGTGCCAAATGGGGCGGTGGCGCATGGAGCGCAGCCACTGGGGCCTTCGCTGGAGCTCCCTATGGGGCCACGAAGCGGTGAGGGGTGTGCCGAAATGGGTGCGGTGGGCGCATGGGAGCGCAGCCACTGGGGCCTTCGCTGGAGCTCCCTATGGGCCACGAAGCGTGTGAGGGGTGTGCCGAAATGGGTGCGGTGGGCGCATGGGAGCGCAGCCACTGGGGCCTTCGCTGGAGCTCCCTATGGGGCCACGAAACGTGTGAGGGGTGTGCAGAAATGGGTGCGGTGGGCGCATGGGAGCGCAGCCACTGGGGCCTTCGCTGGAGCTCCCTATGGGGCCACGAAACGTGTGAGGGGTGTGCCGAAATGGGTGCGGTGGGCGCATGGGAGCGCAGCCACTGGGGCCTTCGCTGGAGCTCCCTATGGGGCCACGAAACGTGTGAGGGGTGTGCAGAAATGGGTGCGGTGGGCGCATGGGAGCGCAGCCACTGGGGCCTTCGCTGGAGCTCCCTATGGGGCCACGAAACTTGTGAGGGGTGTGTTGAAATGCGTGCGGTGGGCGCATGGGAGCGCAGCCACTGGGGCCTTCGCTGGAGTTCCCTATGGGGCCACGAAGCGTGTGAGGGGTGTGCAGAAATGGGTACGGTGGGGCGCATGGGAGCGCAGCCACTGGGGCCTTCGCTGGAGCTCCCTATGGGGCCACGAATCGTGTGAGGGGTTGTTGTTGTTGATGATGATGATGATGATGATGGTGGTGGTGATGATGATGATGATGTTGATGATGATGATGATGATGATGATGATGATGATGATGATGTTGATGTTGATGATGATGATGATGATGATGATGATGATGATGATGATGATGATGATGATGATGATGATGATGATGATGATGATGATGATGATGATGATGATGATGATGATGATGATGATGATGATGATGATGATGATGATGATGATGATGATGATGATGATGATGATGATGATGATGATGATGATGATGATGATGATGATGATGATGATGATGATGATGATGATGATGATGATGATGATGATGATGATGATGATGATGATGATGATGATGATGATGATGATGATGATGATGATGATGATGATGGCAGGAGGGAGGGGGCAGCGGGAGGAGTGAACGCGGGGCGCTGTCTCTTCAAAACGAGGACCCAACACCACAGGATGGTTGGGAAAACGAGGAGGAGGAGGAGGAGGAGGAGGAGGAGGAGGATGCCTCTTGGGGGCCTCCTGTGAGCTTCCTGGGGGCCTCTTGGAGGGTTTGGGAGGCCTTTTGGGGGTTCTTTGGGGCTTTTGTTTGCCGTCTTAGGGATCTTGAGGCGATCTTGGGGTCCTCTTGGGCCGCCTGAAACGCTTCGGAATACCGAAACGAAGCAAATGCCAACATCTTTCAAACACCTAACGAGTATCAATGATTTTGGCCTCTGCAGGCCCTCCTGGAGGACCTCCTGGAGGCCTCCTGGCCGTCTCGCGAGCCTCTTGGGAACCTCTGGGGCCGTCTTGGGTCATATTGAGGCCGTCTTAGGCCGTCGTGGGTGCATCTTGGGCAGTCTTAGGGCATCTTGGGGCAATCTTAGCCGTCTTGGAGGCCGTCTGGGCCGTCTTGGAGGCCTCTTCGAGCTCTTTTGGGGCCGTCTTGGGGGTCTCTCGGGCCGTCATGGGGCCATCTTGGAGGCCTCGTGGGCGATCTTGAGGCGATCTTGGGGTCCTCTTGGGCCGTCTTGAGCCGTCGGAATGCCGAGAAGAAGCAAATGCCCAAATCTTTCAAAACTTTAGGAACATCAGCGATTTTGGCCTCTTCGAGCCCTCCTGGAAGACCTCTTGAGGGCCTCTGAGGCTGTCTTGGAGGCTTCTTGGGCGAACTTGGAGGTATCTTGGACGCTCTTGGGCTGTCAGGGAGGCCATCTAGAACCGTCTAGAATCATCTTGGAGGCCATCTTGGACACCATCTTGAGCCGTCTTGGAGTTTTTTTGTGGACGTTGGGGTCCTGGGCAATCCTCCCGAGACCCCTGCGGGACGGGCCGAAGCGCCAGGGGGAGTTCATTTGGAAAAAGAACCAAAACCAAAACTGAAAGGGTCCAGCACGCCAGGCACCTCTGCGATGAATCGACAGGGGGCGCCTGATCGAACACGCCTACGGCGAATCACCGCCGCCCCCTGCCCTTGTGGAAGCGCCTATGTGGCCGACAGCTGGGCTAGAGCTTGGCCAAGCTATCGGACCATATGTTCCCCGAGTCGGTTTGGAAAACCTTCGGGGAACACGTGGGGGAGGAAGAGGAAGAGGAGGAGAAGGAGGAAAACGGAGAAGGGGGAGGATGCCTCTTCGGAGCCTCTTGAGGCACTCTTGGGCTCGATTGGGCCATCTTGGGGCCGTCTTGGAGGCCATCTTGGGCGTCTTGGAGGCCTCTTGGGCCGTGTTTGGGCCCTCTTGCGGCCGTCTTGGGGCCGTCTTGGGCCGTCTTGGGGCGCCTCTGGAGGCCTCTTGGGCCGTCTTGGGGCGCTTTTGGAGGCCTCCTGGGCTGTCTTGGAGCGTCGGGAAGGCGAAAAGACAAAAAACCAAAATCCGTCCAAAATCATCGTAAAGTGGACGATTTTGGCCTCTTCGGACCCTCCTGGAGAACCTCTTGGAGGCCTCTTGGGCCGTCTTGGAGGCTTCTTGGGCGAACTTGGAGGCATCTTGGACCCTCTTGGGCAGTCTCGGAAGCCGTCTTGGACCATCTTGGGTGGACTTGGAGGCCATCTTGGACCATCTTGGAGGCCATCTTGGGCAAACGTGACCATCCTGGAGGCCATGTTGGGCCGTCTTGGAGGAAGAATTGGGATTGGGCGATGGCGTGTGCGTCTTGCGGGTCTTGGGGGGCGGCCGGCGGGACGGGCCGAATCCCACTGGGAGAGTTCTTTTGGAAAAAGAACCAACACCAGAACCGAAATCATCCAGCACGCCAGGCACCCCTGCGATGAATCGACAGGGGGCGGCGGATCCTAGTGGCCTTTGGTCTATCCCGCCACCGTGCCTGGGTCGTGGGTCGTGGCGCCATCGGTTGGTTAATCCCGCCACCGGCCGTGCCTGCGTTGTATATGTGTTGGGGTGTCGTGGGGAGCATCTCGGGAGCCTCTTTTGGGGCCTCCTGGGGGCGTCTCGGGGCACAAATATCGAAGGTTCGGGTTCGTGGTCCCCTGCTTGGGCCCCTCTTGGGGCCCTCTTGGGACCCTCTTGGGCCGTCTTGAGCGCTTCTTGGGCCATCTTGGATCCCGCTTGGGCCGTCTTGGGGCCCTCTTGGAGGCGTCTTGGGCTGTCTGAGGGTGCTCTTGGGGAACTTCTTGAGCCGTCTTGGAGCGTCGTAAAGCCGAACATGCGAGAATGCCCAACTCGTTCGAGCGCGCCCGTAAAATCTACGATTTGGGCCTCGTGGGGTTCTCTCGGGAGGCCTCTCGGAGCGCTCTTGCTGCGTAATGTACAAAGGTTTGTTGCCTCGGGGACGCAAACATTGTCTAATTTACAAAGGTCTGTGGCCTCGGCGACGCGAGCATTGCGTAATGTACGAGTGATTATGGCCTCGGAGGCGCGAATCTTATGTATTGCGAAGGCCTTACGGCCAGTGCCGCCGACCCTGTGAACGACGAAAATGAAAACAAGGGGGGGGCAGGGGGAGGAGGATGAGTGGGAGGTGGAGGAAGGGTGGAGGAGGTGGATGGGAGGAGGAGAGGGGAGAAGGATGTGGAGGAGAAGCAAGAGGAGGAGAAGGAGGCAGAGGAGAGCAGGAGGAGGGAGAGCAGAGAGGGGGGGAGGAGGAGGAGGAGGAGGAGGAGGAGGAGGAGGAGGAGGAGGAGGAGGAGGAGGAGGAAGAGGAGGAGGCCAGAGGCTTCCTTGGACAGCCTGGGGCTCTCTTGAGGCCGTCTTGGGCCGTCCAGTGCTCCTCTTGCGCCGTCTCGAGGCACTCTTGGAGGCCTCCTGGGCTATTTGGGGCTCTCCTGGGTTGTCTTGGGGCAGTTTGGGTGCCCCTTGGGAGCCTCTTGGAGCTTCTTCGGGGCCTCTTGGGGGCCTCTCGAGGCTGAGAGCTCGAAATGTCCGTTCGGGTCCCCCGTCTGGGCACTCTCCTGGACCCGTCTTGGGGGCCTCTTGGGCCGTCTTGGAGGCGTTTTGGGCTGTCTTGGGGCCTTCTTCGGCCGTTAGGGGACCCTCTTGGGGGCCTCTCGGGGCGATCTTGGGGGCATCTATCGCTCGGCGATTCGGGGTTCTCTTGGACTGTCTTTGGCGCCTCTTGGGGCACTCTTGGCCCGTCTTCGGGCCCTTTTGGGCTCTGGGACTCCCAGGTGGGGCGTCTGACCCCCCAAGGGGTTTCCCTTCGGCTCAATTACGACGTTGCTCAACTTCGCTTTGGCTGGCGCGCTGAGGAGGTCCCTGGGAAAGGGGGAGGCAGGGAAAGGGGACGACAGAGACGACGACCAACGAATGACGGAGATAGCGAATTGAACGGACAAGCCCCTCACACACGCCGACAGGGTCGGCGCATTTTTGCGTGTCCCACGACCCCCTCATGAGTTTAGAGCACGCGATTCGGGCGTGGTAGCCGGGCGGTTTGGGGCTCCCCCCCTGGCGCGGCTTTAAGCAATTTACAGTCGGAAGCAGAAAGCAGGACTGTAACATTGGAGACTTGAATTTGCAACTGGTGCAGGGAACAGCACACTTCGGCCTACAGCCTGGTGGCCCCAAAGGGCCAGCCGATTTTCGTCTGTGGTTTCACTGACCGTGTCCAGGCTTTCCGGCTGCGGCTGCCATTTACTTGGCGCTTGGCCAATGCTGGCCTCGGGTGGGGCGTGTGAGCAGAGGGAGGGCGTGTCCCTTCCCCCCCAAGAGGCGGCTGATGCCAGATGGCTGGGAGAGCGCGGAAGGGTCGCGCTGGCACCCATCCACTGAGCGCTTGGACCACACTCGGCCGAGGGAGGGCGGGGACGAGGCCGAAACAAGTTTTTCCACTGCCAGTGCGCTTGGAGGGCGGCCCGCGCCCCTCGCAGGCATCAAGGCAGACCGCATGGCCCTTGAGGCCGTGCCCCCAGGGCGCAGCGGCTCCATTCGTCAGCCAATCCAGGCCTCGGGCAGGGGCGGCAACTGAGCTCAGCCAAGAATGATTCGGCCAGGCTGAACTCGGCCAGCGGTAATTACCCGGCCAGGCTGGAATCGGCCAAGCTGGATTCGGCCTTGGCCGAGAGTTCTGCCTGGTCGAGTTCAGCAAGCCAGGATCAGCCTGGTTGCGCTTGGAGGAGTCTTTCCCTTGTTTCGGGCAGAGCCCCCAGCTCTCCGAGCCGAGTCCTGCCATGGCGGCCAGGGAGGAGGCCAAGGCTGAGGAGGTGCGAGGAGGACGGCGCAAACGCCGCCCCGCCCCGCGCCGCGCCGCGCCGCCGCAGGGCTCCAAAGAGAAGAAGGCCGGCTCCAGCGACGCGGGGAAGCCCTCGGGAGAGAGCGGCGCGCCCGCGCCCTCCTGTCGGCCCGCCGCCGTCGCGTCGCCGCCGCCGCCGCCGCCGCCGCCGCCGCCGCCGCCGCCGCCGCCGCCGCCGTCGTCGTCGTCGTCGTCGTTGTTGGCTTCGCGGTCAGTGCCAGCGGCGGCGGGAAGGCCTGGGGGTTGAGTGGCGCTCCCGCCCGCCCGCCCGGCGGGTGCCGCGGCCGCGCCCGTTGTCGCCGCCGCCGGCGACGGCGGTCCTTTGTTTCTGAGGCTTTCGGGCGTTTTAGAAAATCAGCCAGGAAGGGCCCTGGGAGGGATCCAGGGGCAGAGTTTGCCTTCAGTTTGGCGTCGTCGCCGCCGCATGAGTCTTCGTCGCCGTCGTCGTCCTCGTCGTCCCTTTAGCTTTTTCCCTCTGTTGGCCTGCGGGAGGGCCCCTCTGCGCCACGTCTGGACGCGACTCGAAACACGGGGCATGACGAACCCCGAGAGGGCTCTCGGGACTGGTGCTGCTCGGATTTGGGTAGAACGTTCCCGCTCCCTCTGTCCCACATTCCCTTCTCCTCCTTCTCTTCCACCTTCACCTCCATCTTCGCTCCTCTCTCTGTCCTGCACTCCTTCCGGCCCTCACTCATCGCCCCCCTGCTCTTGCTCTTCTTCCCGTGCCCTCAAAATGCCAATCTCGGGATCCTGCAAAAGCCAACCAGTACAAGCGCTTTGCAGTATCATGTCCAGTGGAGGTGTTAGTCTCCGTCTGGGTCGTTTCCAATTGTTCCTGCTACATCCTTTGAGGTTTCTTCTAGAGTCTGTTTTTGTTGGGTCTGGCGATAACCCGGGTTATCGGGCTCGCCCCCCACAGGATAACCTTACGTAGCCAGTCGTGCAGGTCCGGAGGGGGGGCGCAGGGAGCTCGCAGGGAGCGCTGTGTTCAACGGCGCGGTGGTGTTCGCAACAGCATGTTGGTGCTTGGATGCACGTTGGCGAAACGTTGGGGCTTGGAGTGGCGCGGAGAAACGACGACGACGACGGCGACGACGACGGCGACATACGCCAGACAACCACAGACGACGACAGACGGCGACAGTCGACGACGTACGACGACCGACGACCGACGACGACCGACATTGCAAGCGAGCAGCGCGTACACAGGCATTGCGTTGTGCACAGGCAGCGAGGCTATTTGGTGCGCGAATTTGCTGCTGTTGCAGCAGGATCTGTTGTGTACGCAAGCGTTGTGGTGCACGCAAGCATAAGTGCACGCAGGTCGCGCGGTGCACGCGGGCATCGTGATGCACCCAGGCACTATGGTGAAGACAGGCTTTGTGGTGTGCACAACTGTTGTTGCAACATTCGACATCATTCACGCAGGCATCCCAGGCATGGTGGTGTACGGAAACACTGGTGCACGGTCATTGCGGTGTACCACACCTTGTGGTGTACACAGGCGCTGCGGTGCACAAGCCCGCTGCAGTGCACCCATTCGCTATGGTGTTCACACGCGTTCGTGGCCCAAAAATCAGAGACCGCCCCTGCGCAAAAAAACAGTAATCACAAATAGCTTACATATTGGATTTGATACGTTCAGATCCCCAACGATTTTCTGGAGTTTGGTCCAGCCCAGGGCCCTGGATGCGTGCGTAGCTTTATGGTGTACACAAGCACTTTGGTGCACCGAAGCTGTGGTGTACGAGTATGGTACTGAAGCAGCAACCGTGCTGCAAATAGGCGTCGTTGTGTACACAGGCAGTGTGTGTGTGCGTGTGCTGTACACAGGCGCTGCGGTGCACACGGCTGTTGTATTGTACGCAGGCCTTGTGGTGTACACAGGCACTGTTGTGTAGACAGGCGTTGCGGTGTACACAGGCAGCTGTGGTGTACAAAGGCGTCGTGGCGCACGCTAGACAGGCGCCGCGGTGTGCACAGACATGGTGGCCCAAAATGGAGGGACCGCAGCCTGGGCCAGAACAAATAATAACCACAAGTAACTTACGTATTGAAGTTGATACGTTCGGGTCCCCGGGGATTTTCCAGATTTGGGTCCCGGCGGGACCTTCGTGGTGCGCAGAAGCGTTGTGGCGCAAATGTTCGCTATGCGCTGTGGTGCACGCGGCTCCTGTGGTGTGCACAAGCACCGCGGTGTACACAGGCGTTTTGGTGCACGCGGATGCTGTCGTGTACACAGGCATCGTGGTGTACGCAGGCACTGTTGTCTTGACAGGCGTTGCGGTGTACACAAGCAGCTTTGGTGTACAAAGGCGTCGTGGTGTACACTAGACAGGCGCTGTGGTGTACACAAACACAGTCGGGCCCCCGGGCCAGAAAATTCATTAATCACAAAAGGTTACACATTGAATTTGATACGTTGGGCCCCCCAGGGATTTTCCAAATTTGGGCCCTGGATGGACCTTGGAGGTGCGCGGAAACGCAGTGGCGCAAATGTTCGCCATACGCTGTGGTGCACGCGGCTCCTGTGGTGTGCACAGGTATCGGGGTGTACACAGGCGCTGTGGTTCACGCGGAAGCCTTTGCTACAGCACCACCTGTGGTGTGCAAGACCGATGTGGCGCACGCAATTTCTGTATTACTCACAGGCAGTGTGGTGCACGCGTGTTTTATGAATAGTGTATACGAGACTTCGCGGCTACGCCTAGCAATCACATCCCGTGTATTCCAACGCGAGCTGTCCAGACATCCCTAGGCAGTATCAGACGGTGCCCGCATCGTCACAGCACCAAGAGTAGCATCGCGGCAGCCTCGTTAGCAGCTGTAGGGGCCGCAGCACCGGTGTGCGCGGGCATATGCAGGGCTGCCCACAGCGCGAACGTTAGGTCATCAGCCGGCCCCCTCCCCCTCCGCCGGATAACCTGGGTCATCGCCGATTCAAAAAAAAGGTCTCCTGAGCAGCGTCGTAGTTGAGAGGCGGTAGGAGCTTTCAGCTCACACTTTTTCCACCAGCCGAGAGGAGCCATGTGGCAAGAGAAAATGAGACGACGACGAAGAGACGACACGGCAGAGGCCGCGAGGGGGGCGGGGGAAGCAGGGGGGAGACTCACGCCGCGCGCGCGCCGGTCCCTCAGGGGAGCCTGAGGCCCCGGCACGGCGGCCGCGCGACGCGCCCCACCGAGACCGCCGCCGAGGCGAGCTGCCCAGCCGCCTTCCACGCCCAATCGGTTCGCTTCGGCCGTGGCCGCCCTGGCCAAGACCCCGCGGGAAGGCAGCGGCGCCGAGCGCGTCCAGCTCGGCCTGAAGCGCGCGGCAGACGGCGCCGAGCCAGCCGCGAGTCGGAATGCTCAAAGGATGGGCGAGGGCGCGCGCCGCCTCCCACCCGCCGAGGGCGAGGACCTCCCAGATGGAGTCCCGCTGCGCCTGCGCGTCCCGGGACTCCTCCGTGGGGGCGTGCGCCGCGTCGGCGCCGCCGGCCGCCGCCGCCGCCTGAGCCAGGGGGTCCCGGCCCTGGCGCGTGGCCTCGGCCGCCGGCGCCCAGCCAGCCGCGCGGGCCCTCTGTGGGCGCGTCGTCGCGGGCCGTCCCGGCGCCCGCCAGGGGGTCGGCGCCGCGGGTCGCCTCTCCGGGGGCGCTCGCCGCTGGCGCCCGCGCCGCGCTCCCGCCGCCCTCTCCCGCGCTGCCTCCGCCCAGCGGGCGCGCTGCCGCGAGGCCTGGAGGTCGAGTCGTTGCTGTGCCTCCCGCCGCCATCCTTGTCGTCCCTTGCCCCCTCGCATCCCCCTGCCCCCTCTCCCCTACCCCCCTCAATTTTCCTTCCCTCCACTCCCACACCTCGCCTCGCCTCCCCATCGCTGCGGGAGGAAGGAGGGGGAGGAAGAGGAGGAGGAGGAGGCGGAGGAGGAGAAGGGAGGACAACGACGACGAAAACGACGGCGGCGTCGAAGTGGGGAAGAAGAGGAAGCACAATCATAATATAAGGGGAGCTTAAGGATGATGGTTAGGAGGAGAAGGAGGAGGAAGAGGAGGAGGACCAGTGTAAACCCAAGAATCATCAACGATGTTGGAATTCGCCCTCCCTCCAAGCTGCCTCTTCACAGGCCCCTACAACGGTTCATTCCCATTGAGGGAACTGCCTCGTTGGAAGACAACCGTTTGCAGATCCTGGCATACCAGAACATTGTTCTCGGGATTTCAACGCCACGTATCAACCTGACTGCTGCGTTTCAGCGATCCGGAATCGTGGCATGATGACATGTTTTGTATTTAGTAACCGCGAAACAACATAATTGTTGCACCCGCATAATCCAGAATCCTTCCACAATACCATTTGTGGTACGTTGATCACGGGAATCCGCGAACCTCTTGCATCTTTCAAAACATGTTCGCGGCGTTACGGCGAAGCCACATTTTGAAAAGGAACCGCCCTCAAGCTCTTGCAATTTTCTATAACGAATGTGCGCGGCGCTAAGGCGAGAGCCACATTTTGAAAACCACCCCCCTTCAATCCGTGAATCTCTTCCAATTGCTTATAACAAATGTGCGCGGCGCTAGGGCGAGAGTCACATTTTGAAAACCACCCACCCTCCATTTGTGAAGCTGTTGCCACTTGTTAAGCTTCAGAGTCATAAGTGGTGAGGAAGTCTCAGGCGAAACGCCCGGCCCGCCCTAAAAACTGGCCTCGGGGTGCGACAAGGAGGAGTTATTTATAAGGAGAAGGCATGGAGGAGGAGGAGGAGGAGGAGGCGGAGGAAGAGGAGGAGGAGGAGGAGGGGGAGGGCGAGGGCGAGGGCGAGAATCTAGATCAGAGCGGGCAGCAGGACGAGGAGGCCGACGACCGCGCCCGCGGCCCGCGGCGGCAGCGGCGAGAGCGGCGGCGCGCGCGCGCGACCCCCTGCCCGCGGGCGCAGGGCGGGAAGCCCCCGACAGAGACGGCGCCAGGGCCGCGGCGAGCTCCCCAGGCGGCTGGGCGGCCGGGGGGGGGTCTCGGTTGGCCTTGGGATGCTGCGTGGATCAGAGGAAGGCGATTTGAGAGAACGGTAGTTGGCCTTCCCTTGGGTCAGAGGAGGGCGATTCGAGAGAACGGTAGTTGGCCTTCGAGGGGCCCTCGCGTCGCCACGGCTGGCCGCAGCTCGGAAAACTGGTGCGTTTGGACCCCGGGAAGGCTCCGCAGACAGATTTTGAGTCGCTGGAGCCCCGGTTGGCCATGGGATGTTTCGTGTAAGAGTGGCCCTTTGTTGGAGTGACCTTTGGTGCGCGGCTTTCGGTGGGCGTGCGGGGGTCCAAGCCCAGGCTCGCAGGCCACTGCTGTCGCACCGCGCGCAACGATCAGCAGGCCGCGTACCAAAGGTCACTCTTGCCTACTTTGGCTCACTCTTGCGTGTAGCCGACCTGGGGTGTTGCAGCTTCGTGCCGCCTGGAGGCGTTGAGGGACGCCTCGAGGTGAGGCGTTCGAGTTCTGCCATGAGGGAGGGGCTCAGCGGGAAGCTGAAACGGCAGGGGGCCGCTGGGTGGGAGAATCCACGGTTCCAGGAACGATGCATGTTGCGTTTGGCACAATGTATCTTGCGGATACTTACGAATTCTACGTGCACGCATGCTCTGAAACAAACCGAGATTTACCGGTAGTGGCGGGGATTGACGCCAACGCTACGCTTCCTCGGAATATCGACGGCGTCACTGGACACTCTCTCCTCCCACCTCTAAAGAGTCATTCTCCCGTTCATCAGCAAGGCGTACTTCAATGGCTTCAGCATCATAATCTACGAGCCCTGAATACTTTTGCGGCCAGTGCCAGCCGCGAGTCTCTCTGGACATGTGGCGTCAAACGTGCTCTCTGGGCACGTTCTCAGATTGATTACGTTTGTGGTTCAGACAGTATCGAAGGCTCGGCATACCCACTGGTTCATGCAAAACTCAATGACATTTACAAACGGTTCCCGTTAGACCATCGGCCAGTCGTGGCCCATCTGAAACATCCTGACATCATATTCAAGGTACCCCCGAGACCTCCATCTCTGAAAGGATGGCGGCCCAAGCATCCTACCGACCGTGACCGATTCCAACGTGAAGTTCTGGAGTGCAAGTTTGAATTGGCGCACTTGGAGAAATCTTTACTCGATCTGGCCATCCAGACACCGCATACGTCTTCTACCAGTGCCCGGGACGACGAAGATACGAAACTTGCGCAGAACGTATCTTCATTGAGGGCGCAACTTCGGGCAACGGGGCACGGACCAGACGTCCGAACCATCAAGAGAGACATCCGCAAGTTGCGACGACAACGAGCTCGCAGGAAGTGGCAGCGCAAACTTGCGCGTCTCGCCAAATCCGTGCCGCAGCATTCGTTCCAACCCGTGCGCTTGGAGCTTGCCGAGGGCACGTCGACGGATCATAAACAGTGGCTGCATGGACTATTTGAGTTTGGCCGCGGCCGTTTTGGAAACGCTGCAAATGACGTTCCGGCGCAGATGTCCCGTTTAATTACATTATCTTCCACTGCACGAGCTGACCGCTTGGATGGCCATTACTCGCGATCTCCAGCGCTAGACTTGTTCGACGTACTGCAAGCCCGAGCCGCCCTGTCAGAAGGCAAAGGCGTCGGCGCGGACGGCGTCCCAGCCGAAGTGTACAAGACGATGCCTTGGGCAGCAACCCTTCAGATACATGCAATGTTTCAGCAACGGTTGAATTTTGGCCCCGGGGGCGAGTCGCCATATTGGAGAATGTTGGACTTCCTGGGTATCCCGAAGACTCCAAACATCAAGGCTTTCAAAGACTTCCGCTGGATTTGCAAATCGGCTTCACTGCAAAAGTGGTACATGTTGAGCTTACGGCCTCAATTGCGACGACAACTTCGCCCATCTATTGTTCACACATATGGCTTTCGCCCACAATGCAAAACAGGGCACCTAACAGCGTTGGTTCGACAATTACTTCACTTAGCGACGAAGTGGGGCATGGGATTATTGATTGCGGCACAAGACGTTGAATTTGCATTCGATTCCATGAACCACGAACACATTGCCACCTCCATGACAGCTCAGGGGGTTGGATCTGGATTGGTAGCCGCGCACCTCCGCGAGCTCGCTGGGATACGGGCCACGATTCAATTGCCTGGAGTCGGGAGCACGACCCCGTTCGATTATAGCAAAGGGGGCAAACAAGGCGGAATTGAGACCCCCGACGAGTGGAATGCTCTTGCAGATTATTTGATGGAGCCCTTGATCCAAGCGTGGGGCGTCAAAGGATTCGGTTTCAAGTTAGATCTTGGGGATGGTGATGTTTACGTGAATCACGCGGTGTGGTGCGACAGCGTTGTCTTGTTTGCGGCCGACCAAGTGAGCTTGAGCATGATGATCAACGACATTACCCGGCGATTCCACGAGCATGAACTGCATTGGAAGCCCGGGTCCTTGGATATTCTTCCAGGGGGGAGTTTTGCAAGCGATTTTTCATACGAGTTTGCTGTGGTGCAAAATGGTGCTCAACAATTTTACGCCGTCGTCGACGAAATGATCTTGCTAGGAGAGCTGTTCGATAGAGAGGGACGTTCGGCGGCAAGCATGAGGTTTCGCCAGGCTGCTGGGGACAGGGTATTTTTCAAGCACAAATCGTTGTTCCACACTCGGGGTCCCGTCCTCCCTCGGCTTCGCGCTTGGGCTACCTCCCCGGCTACGTCCGCAGTATTCGGGTGCGATTCCTGGCACGTCACAGCAACCCTGCTTCACGAAGTTCAACGATGGGAATACAAACGGGTCCGCCACATGCTCCGGTTTCGCCGCCGGCAGGGGGAGGGGCCAATGGAATTCAACAGGCGGTCCGCAGCTATGATTCGACAGTGGTACGGCTACGCGGGCATACATTTCTGCACACACAGAATCTTACGCGACATTTACACGGCCGCATGGGATGAAAGCAGGAGCGGCCTTACCAGCCAAGACAATCCTTTGCTTTGGGCACGGGAATATCGAAACCAATTGTGGTGGGAAACTGTTTCGGCATTGGGTTCGAGTCGGAAGCGCCGGGCGGCGGACGTGATTCATAGCAGGCGTGGGCACCAACCAGCTTGGGAAGACCCGTTATGCACGATATTGGGGTCAGATTGGCGTTCGATGCGGGCCCGCACGCAGTCCAAAGCAGAATGGTTGAAGGGAGCTGCAAATTTCGTTCGGGACGCATGTTCTTTGGCCTCCATGCTCCAACAGCGCCAGCGGCTTCTCGACCGAGCCTTTTCCAGCCAGACCGCGCTGAACTTCCGAATGGGGTCCCGGAGCTCCCGCCGCACCCAGACGACGACAAATGGGACGCTCTTCACAAGCGGGTATGGTTTCAAGTGGACTGTCTCGGAGTGGCGCAGGTTGTGAATGGCGAGGCTGTCTTGCGAGCTCCCCACTTGGAGGCAATTTTCAGGCGAATCTGCCGCCGTTTGGGATGTATCTGGGAATCTGGGTGGAAACCCCGACGTGATATCGACCCGTTCGTCATTTGGTCTGCCCGGAAATTCAACAGCACAGCCGACTACATGGTCAATTTGGCCATGGATGCCGGCCGCGACTTCGAAATCGACCTGGGGCGCCTACGACAACAATCGTTACGACATAGCAGACTGAAGGTCTGCATCGACGGCGGATTGCGTAGATGCGGATCGGCTGCTTTGGGCATCGTGGTATATGGCGTCGATGGACCGGAGGCTGTCGAGATAGGGCGGGCTGCGCGGAAGTTCACTGGCATAGGGTCGGCCTTCCAGTCCGAAGCAACAGCGTTAGAGTGGATTGTAGATATGTTTTGTAACCATATACTATAATTTTGTCATCCTCCATCTTCTCCCCTTCCTCTTGTCCAGTGGCCGCGTTTGTTTTCCACTTGAGGTAGATACGCGTTGATGCTGAGCACTCAAGGCTACTTGGCACAGGCCCCCGGGGTCGTCATGAGCCTACGGCGTTATGACAACTGATTTGCCTTTCACCTAGCACGCGCACGACTGTGCCAGCGGACGTCCGAAAGAAAGAAAGAAAAGATAGAGCAGACTTTGGCTATGTAATAGCGTTGTGACACATTTGGGTTTCGATGCGTTTGAGCCGACGTTTTGTTGGCTCAGAGCAGAGCCGCAACAAGGACCCTCTGGGATTATACTTCTGAGTAATATGATTTATTATCATCAGACCCGGGTTGTCAGTTTCGCTGTGTAAAGTTTCGTTGTACCCCGCCCCCAAGTTTTTGACGTGGGTCAGCCTCGTTATCGCGGAGCTTGGTGGAATCTTTTGAGAGCCGTCTTGATGCCCTCGTGTTTTTCTTTGAGGGGATTCGGGCGCCCTTGGGTTTCGGCTGCAAATCTCGGCTCGGACTGCTCTTCAGAACTGTTGTTTCTCCTGCTCGTCCTCCTCACCGTCGTCATCCCGATGCGTCTCCTCCGCCGCTGCTCATCCTCACCTTGCTCTTGTTGTTCCTCCTGCTGGCGCTCCTCCTCGTCCTCGTCCTCCCCCTCTCACTCCCCCTCCTCCTCCTTCTCCTCCTCCTCCTCCGCCGCCTCCTTCTTCCCCTCCTCGTCCATGGGGATGGGGTGGCTTGGGTTTCGGGCGGGGCGACGGACTCGGGGGGGGGTCCGTTTGACTGGCAGCACTCTGCTGCCCTGTGCTCACGCCGTCTGCGCGGCGATCTGCTGCAATGTAGCTGCCTCGCGTCACTGCTCCACGACGCCCAATGCTTTGGCACTGGCCGTCGCGCGCGCTCGCTGTCGCTGGCCTGGCTCGCCGCTGCGGGTCTCGCGGCGAGGACCTCGGCCCCTTGGCCTAACTAGCTCCTTGCCTTCCGTCGCGCTGCTGCGCCCTCGGTCCTCCACCTGCTGGACACACAAGGGCAGGCGTGACCACGCTGAGGGGCAGCACCCCGCCTCGAGCCCCCCGCGCACGGGAAGCCGCCAGCCCTCGCCAGCACCCGGCGACGCGGCAGCCAGCCACGAGCCGCCCAGCAAAGCGCTCGAAGCGGCGGCCCGCGGGGAGCAGCCTCGCGGGCCCAGTCGGCGCTCTCCTCGCGGGCCTCCGTTCGAGGGGGCGCAACACATGAACCAGGGCGCGGTGGATTCGCGCCGTGCCCCGCTTCCATGCAGAGTCGGCGCGCGCCGTCGCCACATCGGGTGGCTCCGGCGCCATGGTTGGGATGGTGCCTTCCCCGATCCAGGGGTGCGTGATCAATGTCAGTGTGCGCCGGATCTGTTGAGAGAAGAGGGTGTGGCAGTGACTAGATGTGCGCACGTTGTCTTCTTTGCTGCTGGAGCCCACGAATATCTGGCGCGAGGATCCTCAGGGGCGACGTCAGTTTTGGGGGGTGTAGGCTCAGGGGGGGACGCATCCTCAGGGGCAACGTCAGCGTGGAAGGGGGATAGGCTCAGGGAGGGACGCATCGATCTCCGATTGCCCATTGATCCCCGATAGGGGCCCGATAGCCCTCTCCCGCCCAGGCACCTATCGGGGGCCTGTAGCCGATCTGTCGGCGGTGTGTTGCGGATTCCAGGTCGATTTTTCCCCCACCCCTAAGCTGTTCCCCCCTGACGTTGCCCTTCACTGTTGAGCCCAGAGGCTGGGGCAGTGCTTTGATGCACACGTTGTCGTATGCTGCCGGAGCCCATGACATGTCTGACACGAGGGTCCGTGCAGGCGAAGCTCAGCGTTGAACATGTCTCCGCGTCTGCTCCTCGTGGAGCAGCCCCTCTACAATTCCGCTCCTGTGCTTTCCCGATGTATCTCCCCAGTTGCACGCGATGTTCCTCGTGTTTCTCCTCACCTCGCAGGGTCCAACTTGACCCGACCGATGCGTTTCGATTTCGGTATTCTCGCGATCCGATATGGCCCGATGTTTGCATGGCGTCATTGTGCATTTTGGCGTTGCCAATTCGATTCCAGCTCCGTGCCGACGCCGCTGGATTCGAAGCGCATTCCGACCCAATCCGACATCCCGATTCCGTGTTGGAAGATTTTGCCTTTCCCCATTTACATCTCCATTCGACCCTTCCCCGCAGCTTTCTGCCTCTTCGCCCACCGACCATCCGCCACCCGTCTCCTCCTCCCGTCCTCCACTCGCTCTCCCCGTTCCGTTGGGTCCCTTACCAACTCTCAAAGAGGAACACGTTGCACAAGCATGAACTTGCGGAGGTCCGCTCAGATGTCTTGGATCTGCGTTGGACCCCCCATGGCGATGCCTCCGGTGCTGTCGCTGGCTCCGCGCGCCAGGGAGGGTTCCAGAGCCGGTTCAAGAAACCCGCGCGTATCTGCGAAAGTTGGTGTTTGTGTCGATTTGTCCTCTACTTCCACCCACCCACGCTCCGTATCAGCTCCCCTTCTTCAATGTCCCCGTCCTCACTCCCATCCCCTCCCACCCGGTCCACACTTCAGGCGCTTCTCCGAGCAAGGCGGTCTCCAGGGAGCCGCAGTACAGCGTCGATGAGGTCGGGCTCCTCTGCCGTGCGCCTCCCGCCGAGGAGGGTGGCCGACTGCAGTAGCCAAGACGCCGAAAGAAGAGGCATTTGGCTCAGGAGGGACCCTGGTGTCTGGGCCGCTCCTCAGGTCTGGGTCGCGGAGTTTGTTCGTGGCCGAGGCTCGCCGTGGCGAGGAAGGGATGATGGGCCTGTTTTCCACCACCACCACCACGTGTTGGAGGGGGAGGGGGTCCTCCTCCTCCTGCTCCTCCTCCTACTCCTCCTTCCTCCCCGCTCCAACTTCTGCTGGTGTTGGTGGTGGTGGTGGAAAACACGCCCGTCAAGAGATCATCGCCTCCCTGCTTCGTGCTCCCGGCAGTGGCACGAGGGGGTCTGCAGGAGCGGAGGCAGCACGGCAGCAGGAGGTGCAGGGGCAGGAGGGCGACGGGCAGCAGCAGCCGCGGCGGCAGAGGAGTGAGCTGGAGGCGCTCAGAGGGCGTCAGAGATGCGCTTCACGCCCTTGCGGGCCCGTTTGTCTTCTCCGAAGTCTCTCCGTCGCCGTCCGTTCTCCGGCTGTGCCTGCCTGAGGCCGCAGCGCCGGATTCGGTGCATGTTTGAGGCTGCCGCCGTTCTGTTCCAGCCTGACGCGAATTAAGATTATTGTCGATCTAGGTTTGCTGAGCGTCAAGCATGTCAGGGATGAGGAGGGAGGAGAAGCTGAGACGACTGCGAATGAGCAATACATTCATTATCTGCATTTCTTCTTTGCTCGGTGCCTCTCAACAGTTCTTGTTCGGTTGGATTCGACGTGTCGTCGCGTCCCGCACAGACTTTGACAGCGGAGAGGGGGAATGCTAGCACTATCCAGCGTCTGCACGTGGGGGCTTCGCCTCGCCCATGGTGAGATGGAGTGGCACATGTCGATTCCCGACGAGGCGAATGGTCCCCCTCGCCCTGTCGACGGCGGATGCCGCAACAGTGGTTGCATTAGCTGGCTGCGCCTTTTGTTAGCATTGGCTCATGTCCTGTTCTCGCACAAGTCCCCGACACTTCAGGTTGCTTGTGTAAGCGCCAGGGCTAGTCCTGTGTTCTCTGATCACTGGCGCCACTCAGTGAACGTTTCTGCGATCGTGGACGAATGTCGGCGTCGCATCCGGTTCTTCGTGGGGACGTTCGTTTTGTACGTACGCGCTCCGAGTGGTACCAGAGAGGATTGCCTTGATTCCCTCCAACGGGGTTTTGGTTTATCATAATCTATTCCCGATTACCGGGTCCCGCTGTCCATGTCGGACAGACTTTGCAGCAACACACTCTCCGGTGCCTGCTGTCCTCTAGACGGTTCGGATATCCAACATCGGGAGACGAGTTTTTCACACGTCCACCCCCCATGGCCAGGCCCATCCGCGGACCCGGATCGTTGTACATGCCTCCCTGGCCAAGCCAGTGGGGCGTATGCACCGCTCGTGGGCCCGGAATGGGCCTCGCCAGGGTCAGGTGTAGACGTCGTGGCCCCAAAGTGTGACGAGGAGGTGGAGGACGCGGCGGAAGGGGAGGCTGGAGGAGGATGATGGAGGGAGGGGGGAGCGGCTACAAAGAGGAAGGAACCAGGAGGGCGAAGCGAAGAGAGGGAGGTGGAGGAGGAGGAGGAGGAGGAAGAGGAGGAGGAGATGAAGCACGAGACGGAAGAGGAGGAGAGCAACCTTGGAGAAGGAGGAGGAGGAGGAGGAGGAGGAGGAGTAGGAGGAGGAGAACGGCGAGAAGGACGAGAACGTCGACGACGTCGTCGACGTCGACGCCCTTCACCCCGACGAGGTTGAGACGACGTCGACGGCGGCGTCTCTACGCCTTCGGCGTCGACGGCGTCTCTGCGACGGCGGCGCGCGGGGTCCCCCGCTGCTGCTTTGAGGCCCTCGCGCTCCAGCGCGCGCTCCAGAGCGCCTTTGCGGCGGATGGCTTCCGGACGCAGCTGCGCCGCGCGGAGGCCGATCAGGGGTGGGATGGGGTTCCATGATCCTCTGTGCGCGCGCGTCTTACACGTGCTTATCCAGTTCGGTTCCGCCCAAGTGTGAGTATGTGTGTAGGTTTACCGATTTCGGTTCCACCGAAAGCGCGCAGCCTGGTCAGGCCCACGTTGTGCCGCCTGCGTCGTATTGAAGGGCTTCGGTGGACAAGCACACGTTGGCGCTAATACACTTTCCGAGGATCATCGAGGGGTCGAGGGGGGCGGGACCATGCCTCTTCTCGGTACGATCGAAGTGGGAACGAGAAGAAGCGGAACGAAGGCCAGCAGCTGTTCTTAGATAGTAAATCACAGAAGTTCCCTCTCGTCTGATTGAATGTGTATGGGCGAATAGCGCTCAACATCGCCGAATAGCTTCCAATAGCGCCCAGGGGTCCCGAATAGCGCTCAAGTAGCGCCATATAGCAACCATAAGCGCCCAATAGCGCCAATGGGTAAAGATCGTCGCCCTGCCAATGGGTAAAGTGGGTTGATTCGTCTGGCCTGCGCTTTGATGGCCGAGTTCGTCAACCAACTGGTGATGCTGTGGTCGATCCCTCCGAGCCATAGTCCCAGCTCCCATTTCGTTTAGCATTGCATGCTCCGTTGAAGTCGGCTGGGCGTATACCGCCGTAGTTCGGCCGTCACACGCGCGGCAAGCCAGCCCCCCAACTCCACAATCCGCTCGTCTGGGATGCGCACAGCCCTGGTGCCCAACGCAAGTCTCGCAGCCGTGGCACGAGGAGACTGCAGCGATTCTGGCGCTACTCCTCGCCCTCGTGGTAGCCGAGCCAGGAGATCATTGTTTTTGGGTTTGTTCGGCGGGCGTGCTGGACCAGGCATTGGATCGGTAGAGTTCATGTTTAGAGGCGGAGATGGCGAGTGCCGCATTGCACCGTCGGTCTGCGTGAGGTGCTCAGGTATCCTGGGCAGCGTCCTTGTTGTGTACGTGTGTCTCATCGCCATTTCGACCCGCATTGTGACCTCTCTTGGAGCATTAACATTGGAAAGCGTGAGGTCCGCGGAAGACGAGAATCCTAGGTGGAGCCATACTGGGTGTACCGTGTGATGTTCGATCCTTCCTCCAGCGGCGTTTATGCGTGCCTTGCCTCCTGCAAAAAGACATATGAGCACGGGTTCCCCTGGTGCCAAGGGCACCTCGGGACACCAGGTGGCTCCCCCTGGAGGCGACGTGGAGACCTCCTGGTAGGCCCGATTGTCCGGACGCGTATCGGTGATACTTCCGTGTAGTCTACGAATGTCACCCTCGATTGGAAGGGGGGGGGCTACATTCCAAGGTGATAGGTGTCACAGGGGGCTGACTACCCACCGTGGTCGGGTCCCCTCGAGTTGGTGGCCAGACCTTGATTTCAAGGCGAAGTCCACCATAGCCAACCCGGGTCTCAGGGTATCGTCCCCCGAACGCACACATACACACAGATACAAACGCACAGACACACACACAGACACACACGCAAACACACACACACACACACTAGCGCGCACGCACGCACGCTCGCACGCATCGCTTCGCGCCCCATCCCCAACCCGTCCCGCATCGATGCCCCAAGTGTATCCCCGCGTTTTTGTTCCCCGTCTGCCTTCGTTTTGTTGAGGTGGGTCAACGGAGTTCGAGTTCCGAGAATATTCACCATGCAGTCATGTCTTTCTCCTGTCCATCATTCGCGGAGCAATTACGTTTGACATCTGGAAAAACGTACTTTTCATCGACGTCTGGGAGGCCATGGCCCCCCCCGCTGCGCTATCCAAGCCCTTCGCCCCCGCCCCCCCATCTTCTTTCGGGAGCGTCCTTCCCGTCGCCCCCTCCACCCTCCTACGGCCCGTCCCTGAGATGTCTGCTCGTCTTGGATCGAAGGTATATCGGCGACTGGCGCCGACTAGCGCTCAAACAGCGACCAACAGCGTCCAATGGCGCCATGTGAGGGAGATGCGTTGTGTCTGGTTTGCGCGCGATTGGGCGCGCTATTGGGCGCTATGGGGGCGACCACTACCATGCAGGGGGGGGGGGCCTGGACCCCCCCCCCCACCTGCTGGTGCTAGTGGGCATCTTGTCGCGATCGCAGCGCATTCCCGCCCCGACGTGCTCCACCCCGTCCAAGCTTTACAGTTCCACGCGGCCTCAACCCCATCCCGCTCCTTGGGTCACGACCGCTGCCGGAAATTATGTTTACGTAAAAGTGTATCCAAGCCCTTGGCCCCTGCTCCCCCCTCCCTCTTGGAGTCGGGACCCCCTGCGGCCAGTCCCTGAGACAGTGAATGACGGAAATTCCACTCATCTTGGATGGAATGCACATCGGCGAATAGCTCCCAGTAGCGCTCAAATAGCGCCCAATGGCGACCAACAGCCCTCAATAGCGCCATGTGAGGGAGACGCATCACTTCCACTTCGCGCGCGAGTGGGCGCTCTACTGGGCGCCGCGGGGGCGACCGAACTCGTCCGCGAGTTGCTCTCGAAACGTGCCGTGTGCGCGTGCCCCTCGCACCTTCCAAGTCCGGCGCGCAAGCTGCCGTAGCCATTTTTGCTCAAGCGTTTCTGGACTCAAGCCGCAGATCCTCCCAGCGCGGGACGCACCCGCGGCGCCGAGCAGCCGCCCAGTGGACCGCCCCCGTGTCGGCATGGCTCCTTGCACCAGCCCCTCCACCAGCGCCCCTAGGCGTGGGCACGGCGGCGGTCACGCAGGGCCGACGGAGGGCCTCGGGAAGCGGTGCCCGCCAGCGCCAGGGCCCAACCAACCCCCTGCACGTCAAGACGCGGCTGTGCAGCTTCTTTGCGGCTGGCGCTTGCCTGAGGAGCACGGGCTGCAAGTTCGCCCACGACCCGACCGAGCTCAAGGCGCCCCCAGACTTCACGAGGACGCAGCTCTGCCCCTCCGTGCGTGCCCACGGCGCCTGCCGGGCCCCCGCCTGCACCTTCGCCCACTCCTGGGCCGAGCTCCGCCCGCGCCTGGACGGCGGGGCGCCGCGCGCGCCCGCGGCCTGCGGCGCCGGCGGGCGCGCCCCGAGCCCCCGGCGAACGGACGGGCGCCCGGCGCGCTGGCGCGCTCAGGCCCCGCCCGCGGGGCCCGCCAGGGCGCGGAGGGTGCGCGGCCAGGCCGGCGGCTGCCTGTCGAGCCCGGGCGCTGGGGCGCTGCGCCTCGGGGGCGGCAAGTGCAGCCGCGGCGGGTCCCCGAGCAGCACCAGGGCGAGCGGGCCGAGCTCGGAGGGGTCGCCGCGCTCGCGCCAGCTCTCGGCAGCGTCCGACGGCCAGCTGTCGGAGTGCACGGAGCCGGGCGTGGAGTGCCAGTCGGGCCGAACGAACAGGGAGGATAGGGAAAGGGGGGGGGGACGAAATCTGCTGCATACAGCTGGCGTCGGCCCGCCTCCGAGCCCATTCCTCGATACATGGGCGCCCTCCCGGCGCCGGGAGGCGCTGGGAAAATCAGCTACGTGAGCTGATTCTCAAACCCCTTTTGTGCTACCCCCCCCTTTCGCCCGGCCCGAGCCAGGGGGGGGACAGCGGCCGCGTGTTGTGGAGGCTTGAGGTGAAGAACACGTTCATCACGGTGGTCCGCCACACTCCCGCGGAGGCGGGCCTGAGCCGTACCCTGTCCTGTCCAGCGGCGCTGCGCCATCGCTGAGGGCCTCTCGCACGCTCCCGGCCGGGCGCCAGAAGCAGGCGAGTTCCTCCGCCTTTGCTGCCTCCCCTGGCGCGCTCCGCGCGCCGGGGAGGGGGTTCCAGCTTCGATCCAAGAAATCTGCGCGGACGTCCGACAAGTTCTGTTTATGTTGGTGATCCATCCACCATCGTATACAAGCCTTGGAGCCGTGCGACGCCATGCCTCGCACATTGAGCCTTGCATGTGTCCTCGCCCATTTCTCCACATTGCCTGTTTGAAAGTTAACGGTTGTCTGTTTAACGTATCATGGCAGGTTGTGGCGCCGTGCGATTCCATGCTACGCGCGCTGAGCTGCCATGGTGACTTATGAGTTCGGATGACGGGAAGCGCCGTCTCGAAGCGAGAAGGTGATGGGAGTTTGTTAGTTAGAGTAAGGGAGGGGGAGGAGGTGGTGGAGGACCTGTGCGCGCGTGCGCACGCAAGCAGAGTGAAGCGGCGCTTCCCGTTCATTTCTGGACAGGTTGTTTGTTCCAATGTTCATGGTTGTCTGATTCAAGTATCATGACAGGTTGTGGCGCCGTGCGATTCAATGCTACGCGCGCTGAGCTGCAATGGCGACTTTTTGAGTTTTGGCGCAACAAGGTAATGAGGTAGCGATCGAAGAGGAGTAACATTTGAACCCTGCTCTTCGGGACGCCTGTCCGCGTTCACTGCTTCACGATGCCCGGTGTAGTCTAGAACTCTTGGCTTCCTGGCCATAGATCATCGCCATGTTATCCAGTCTTTGATCACTTCCCGTCCCTGATTAATCATGATCTGGGGATTCAAATTGCCAGTCTGGCGAGACCGCTGTGATGTGTTTTTTCAAGCAGAGACTTTACGTAAGCCCGATGGCAGAGTGTCCCAACGCACTCGGAGCTACCAGAACGAGGCATAATTTTCATCCGCCATTCGCGAGCCTCATGGCAGGTGTGGCAGCCGTGCGACGCGATGACACGCGCTCTGAGTTTTTAAACTTGTTAGGGCCGATTCGAAGTCATGATTGCATTTTTAAACTGTCATTGCAGACTGTGGAGCCGTGCGGCTCAATGTCACGCGCTCTGATCTGCCATGAGCTGTGCGCCAAGAAAAACATAGCCTGGCGAAGGACCCAACCATATGCAGCTGTGAGTGCCGTAGCGTGGTGTATCGTCTTTGGTAAAGTTCCCGATAGGGCGACGAAACATATGAGAGATGTGCCGACGTGGGGATGCAACGACATGCGAACCCTTGATGTGGCCACGAACCGTGTGAGGGGTGCGCCGAAATTGGGTGTGGAACTGCTTGCGCACTTTCCCACTGTGGCCTGTGGTGGGGAGGTCCTTTGGGGCCACGAGCCGTGTGAGGGGTGCGACGACATGGAGGTGGAACTGCGTGCGAACTTCCCACTGGGGCCTTCGGTGCAGCTCCCTGTGCGGCCACGAAACGTGTGAGGGGTGCGCCAAATGGGGTGGAACTGCATATGCAAACTTTCCCCCTGGAACCTGAGCTCCCTAGGGGACCGCGAACCGTGTTAGGGTTGCGCCGGAATGGGGGGTGGACTTGCATGCGAACATTCCCATTGAGGCATTCGGTGGAGCGCCGTGTGAGGGGTACGCCGAAATGGGGCGGATTTGCATGCGAACTTTCCCACTGAGGCCTTCGGTGTAACTCCCTACGGGGCCACGGAACGCGTGAGGGGTGCGCCGAAGTTGGGTGTGGAACTGCATGCGAACTTTCCCTTTGGGGCCTTAGGTGTAGCTCCCTACAGGGCTACGAAACTTGTGAGGGCTGCGCCACAAATGGAGGTTGGAACTGCATGCAAACTTGCCCAATGGGGCCTTCGATGGAGCTCTCCATGGGACCACGACACGTGTGAGGGGTGCACTGAAATGGCGGATGGAACTGCATGCAAACTTTCCCACTGGAACCTTCGGTTGAGCTCCTTACGGTCAAGGGGGCCACGAAGCGTGTGAGGGGTACGGGGTGGAATTGCATGCGAACTTTCCACTGGGGCCTTCGTTGGAGCCCCCTATGTGGCCACGAACAGCGTGAGGGGTGCGCCAAAGTTGGGTGTGGAACTGCTTGCGCACTTTCCCACTGTGGCCTTCGGTGGAGCTCCCTATGGGGCCACGAACCATGTGAGGGGTGCGCCGAAATGGGGGTGAAACTGCATGCAAACTTTCCCACTAGGGCCTTCGTTGGAGCCCCCTATCGGGCCACGAACCGTGTGAGGGGTGCGCCGAAATTGCGTACATGAAACTTTGCGGATTGGAGCCACAAGAGAATGGCAATCGATAGGAACAAACGTAAAACACCAAGGACTCGTGCCCCAGGGGAGGCCCAGTCTATAAGAACACACGTAACACGCTTAGGATTGGATGCACAGGAGAAGGACCATCTATAGAAAGACACCCAAAACACCAAGGACTCGTGCTCCAGATGAGGCCCAATCTATAGGGGCATACGTAAAACACATGGGATTGGAACCACTTCTGTGGCCTTCTGAGGCCTCCTGCTCCTGAGGCCTCTTGGGGCCTCCTGGTGCCTTCCGGGGCCTCCTGGTGCCTCCTGGCGCTTCTTGTGGCTCCCTGTGGCCTTCTGCAGGATCCTGGAGCTTCCTGAAACCTCCTTCCTGGAGCTTCCCGTGGCCTCCTGGAGCCTCCCGGTGGCCTCCGGATGCCTTCTGGGGCCTCCCGGAGAGGATCTGTGCCCACGCGTCTGGCCAGCAAGACGGGCAAACAGCTCGAGGTATCCTCAACATCCGCACCCCCCCATGGGGGCGAAGCGGAGCGCCTCGCTCAAGACATCCTCCAAATCTGCTCCCAAAGCGGAGGATGTTGGGAGCAAAAACAGGTCCCGTTCGAGACATCCCCGCCGTTTCGGCGCGAACGGAGGAGTGCAATATCCCCTGGCGGCTCCCCCTTGGGGGTGCTGAAACGCGCGCCTCGGTCGAGACATCCTCAGAACTTGCTCCGCCATCATGATCATCATCATGATGATGATCATTATCATCATCAGCAGCATCATCATCAGCATCACCATCAGCAGCATCATCATCATCACCACCACCATCAGCATCATACCACAACATGACATGTCAGATTGTAGCAACGCATATCATACCGTGAAGTATCACATCAGGACATAACAAACCATAGCATACCATAGCAAACCAAACCATACCAGATCATACCATGGTATACCATACCATCACATACCATAAAATAGCATGCACCATACCATACCATAGCATGCCATGGTATAACATAACTCAACCTGAGGAGGAGGAGGAGGAGGAGGATCAGGAGGAGGAGGAGGAGGGAGGATGAGGAGGAGGAAAAGGGAGCTCGGAGCGGTCGGAGTAATATCAAGAACCCCATCCTTTAGATATGGGGAAAAGTTCGTCCCGCAAGCTGCGCCGCCGAGGCCGCCCACCCCCGGCGCGGCGTCCGCGGCCACGCGGACCAGGCCAAGTTCACTCAGCAGTTGCACTCCATGCTGGCCGCGCCCGCGCCGGATGAGGGGACAAGGTTTTCCGGTGTGCCATCGTTCTTACGTGTTTCGGCCCTCCAGGCTCCTTCGCTCTCCTGCCCCTGCGGCTGCCTCCTCTTGCCCTGTCTGCCCTTGCATAAGCCTCGATCCGCGTGTGCGCGCCCTGCATTCGACTCGCCGACCCGGACCATGGCCGCATCCGCTGACAAGCATCGCATTCCGGCCTTCAAACAGTGCAGGGGCGGGGCCCGAGAGGGGATGGATATTGATATTGATCAGATCCGGGCGTTGAAGGAAAACGGATGATAACGATTTTATTGTTGATGATGGGGAGGATGTGCAGTCATCGTTGATGAGACGCGCGTGTGAACAGGTAGGACCCCCCAGACCGTACCACATTTGGATCCGTTTCTGGCAAAGACCTTTCTTGACAGCCTGCTCTCAGAGGCGTATTTTTCCCACTATTACTTTCAACGAGTTGTGGGTGGGGAAAAAAATATGGTGTCCGCTGGGGCCCCCGTCGGACGAGCGGAAATGCGAGCGGTGTGGCGCGCGCGGTCGCGCGCGACCCGCCGCTGTTAATAATGTGAATGCGCGGGCGTCGCGGCGACGACGACGGCGACGGCGACGACGACGGCGGCGTTTGCGCCGACGGCGGCGACGCCGGCAACGGCGACGGCGGCGACGACGACCGTCGCGGCGACGGCGTCGACGGGGCCGGGGCCCACGGGCGAATTTGCGCCCCGCCCTCATTCCTGGAGCCCCGCGCCTGGTTTTCTTGGAGGAGCGACATTTGCGCGCGCAGTTTTACCCCAACCGTCCCTCCGCTTGACTAAAGCTCTTTTTCTCTTTAGTCAAACTTTCTTGTTGAATGCATTGAGCAATGCGCCTTTTCTAAAGCCGCTTTTTCGCTTTAGTAACGCCGTTTCCTCGCTTTGGTAAATCCGTTCCCTCGCTTTAGTGAAGCCGTTTCTTCGCTTGATTGAAGTCCGCGGTCGGCCTTAGTAAAGCCCTGGAGATGCGCTGGTAATGCGGCGCCAGAGCCCGGTCCGGGGGCTGGGGGCCCTTGTCTTTCCTGGCACTTCACCCCGCGATGCATTTGCTTGCGTAGTCGGGGTCGCGTCGCATCTGGGCGCGGCGATCCTTGGGCGTGTTTTCAGTGAGTTGAAGAGGTCGGGGCGGTAGCGGAAGGAGACCTCGACCCAGATTTGCTCCGCTTTTTGCAAACATGCCCCAGCTGGGACAGCCTGGCCAAGCAGCGCCTGGAGACGGGAACAACCCACTCCAAATGTGTCGGAGGGGACGAGGCTGCATGGAGCTTCGAAACGAGATCGCAGGCATCGCGGACGAAGAAAACTCCCCGAACTGCCGCACCCTGAACAGGGACGCGAACTTGCAGCTGATCCCGTCAGAGTGCTTCGCCGCTCTCCCGAGAGCGATACGGAAAAAAATGGCGCCCTTGGCTGCAGCAGCTGGGAGGCAAAATGCGCGAGGCGGTCCGCGTCGACAATATCAATATGCCAGAAGACATCTTCACGAAAAACGGGCAGCCCATCCTGAAGGGGGACTTCGCCGACAACGCGTCCGCGCACGCGTCGATCCAGCTCATGCGACCAGGCGCGCGGGGCGATGTCTGGCACGCAGACGGCGGCTGCTCCTTGCTGCATGCGTCCGTGACGCTTTTCGGGGCGCGCTCCGTGGAAGTGAAGACAAAGAACAATCACCCTGAACCAGGAGCCTGGGTCCTTCTACATGGGGGACCTGTCCGCCCTGGACCACAACGTGCGCCACCAGGAGGAGTGCAAACGCACCTTCGACGGAGCGGCTGTAACAGCAAAGGGCGACGACGACGACGACCACCACCACCTGCTACTGCTTGTAACAGCCGACCAGAGACTACAGATCGCGGTCATGATTCGCTCTGGCGTGTTTGGGGATTTCAGGGCGCGCAAGATCAACTCCACGCCTGGCCCTGATGAGTTCTTCCGCGTCGTGAACTTCGCCGTGGCCCAGGACTTGGCCGATGCCCCCGTGGCGCTCCCTGACTTTGCGGAGGCGCTGGCCGAAGTGTCGCGCGTAGACCATGTGAGACAGGCCGCTGCTGCTGGTGTCGGCCTGACCGATTAGGCCCCGCTGGCGGCTAGACTGCGACAATCCCGGACACTCTTGACCGAGAGTTGGACTCTCGATTGCGATTGGTTGAATCATGTCCTTGCCATGTGCCCTCCCCCGTCTTCCGCCGGAAGTCGGCGCTCCTTTGGAGATCCTGGGTGACGGCGACGACGAGGATGATGGTAATCATGACGATGATATCGATGACGATGGCGATGAGGTGACGAGGACGGTGATGACGAAGAAGATGACGAGGTGATGATGACGGTGACGATGGTGATGATGATGAAAATGATGATGACGGTTACGATGTTGATGACGGTGGTGGTGAGGATGATGATGTAGACGGTGATGGTGATGTTGGTGGTGAGCTAGTTGGGTCCGGAAGGCCCGCCATGACCCAAACCAGGCGAACCATAGCAAACAACCGGGCATTGGTGGCGGCGGCTGGGCGGTTGCGGCAGCGTGAAGGTTACGCGGACGCATCGTAGTTTTCTCAGGCTTTCGGGAGATCACCCGTTAAGAGGCACCCTTGGATTTGCGAAGCGCCGCCGGCATCGGTTGCCATCCACTCAATCCAAACGTTACAAGAAATCGTGGTCATGTTTTTTTGGCTCCAGAGGCTGGCTTTGAACGCTTGTGGCGAGGTGTCCCGGCCTCGCGCGCAAATGCAACCCAATTCGGACAACATGAGATTTGTGCTGCGCGCAATGGCCGAGGGGCCGCACGTGTATGACAGTGACATCGACGGTTTCGTGGAGATTGGCATCGCCAAGTACGCGCTGGAGATCGCGCTCGGCAGCATGGTGCAGGCGGCCCAAATCGTGAGCGAAACCAGTGGCAACATGAACGCGATCATCGAACAACTGATGGAGGTAACGGAGGCGTTGCACATGCCGCAAGCGAGGACAAACCTGGGACGATCTAGCAGTGGAAGGGAGACGATGGCACTGAACAGTACCATGATCACGCTGAAGGCACAAGAGCGGGCGCTTGACGGAGAGCTTCGCCACGATTGTGGAACCGCAGCAACAGTTGAACGTCGGCGCAGCAGCAGTTGAACGCCGCAGCAGGCGGACGAGAAGAGTGAGTGCGTGTCTGGTCATGAAGCTGAATCATGACCGAAACATGCACCTCTGGAGGGGGCCAGGCGGCGACTCTCTCCTCTTATTCGTCCTCTCCCTTCTCGGCCGCCTGCCGTGTTTTGTAGCACCCTGCTATATGCTGCAGCGCGCAATGGGTCTCTCCTCAGTGCATCTCCCCCGTCCAGTCGCTACAAACTCCCCCCCCTCTTCGCCATCCCCATGATTCTTGAACACACGCTGCACCCCGTCACGATGAAAACACGGGGTCCGCCACTTATCGGGCGAGTTCAGTAGTGGGTGGGACAGAGCGTGAGCCTCGCTCGTTTCCGCGGTTTGTTATCCAGCGGGATGGCGCCTCTATGTTTTTTTTCGGGTTCCTCGTGAGCGGACGGCGCAGTGAACGGACCCACGGTTTCAATGGGACACGCTCGTCAGCGGTAGTGCGGGGGCAGGGAATGGTTGCAGCAATCGGGGAAGGGGCCAGAGGCATGCAGCAAGGATGCGTCGTCTTTGTCGTCGCTACTTTCCTTTTGCGCCCGCGGCCCGCAGCGGGAAGTCTACCGCGACGTCCTGCCACAGAAGCCGTGGTGCTTGCCGCAGGGTTGGGAGGTGCTTCGCGGCGGGGACTGGGACGCAGAGTCGCTAGCGCGCAAGCGTGATGCTTCGGAAAGGGAGGGTGGTGGGCAGTCGGGAAAGCAGGCGCAGGAGGAGGAGGAACCGCAAGCGGGAACATGTGGGAGTGGCAGGGGGCAGGAGGGGGACAGGGGAGGAGGATATCGGAGGCTGGTGAATGGGGAGCGAGGAGTGGGGATTGAATGCGTCGGGGGGAGGACGGAGGAAGGACGATGAGGAGGAGGAGGAGGAGGAGGAGGACGAGGAGGAGAAGGAGGCAACGACCGAGGAGGAGGACAAAACGATGGTGAGCACGAAGGTGAGGCAGGGTGGAGAGGTCGGAGGATGGATGACTGGAGGGGCCTTAGGGAGGGAGGACAGTGGGGAGGAGGATCATGAATGAAGAGCGATAGGCGATAGATGTACGACGGCGGGGTGAGGAAGAAGGAAGAGCACGAGGAAGGAGGGTGTGCGGCTGGAGGGAGGTGGGGATTTGCAGGAGGGAGCAGGCAGGACCAAAGAAGAGGAGGCCACGGGAAATACGTGGAGGAGGAGGAGGGTGACGACGACGACGACAATGACGACAACGACGACGGCGACGACAACGACGACGACGGCGACGGCGACGGCGACGGCGACGACGACGGCGACGGCCACGACGACGACGACGACGACGACGACCACGTCTACGAAGTGGACCAAAAGGGTAATCATGAGAACAGGCGGCACGGGGGAGCAGCGGGAGGGGAGGGAATGGGCGGGGCGAGGAAGAGCAGTAGGTGCAGGTCGAGCGGCGGGAGGACGCGGAGGGGGAGGGAGGCATGGACGGAGACGGTAGGGGGGGGGTGGGCATCAGCGTATCCACGGTCGTCGGAGAGGTGGGGTGGGTGGGGCGGGCATCAGCGGAGAGATGGAGCGGGCTGGATCGCGGGGTGGGGTGGGAACGGGCTGTCTTCCGGGGGAGGGGATCGCGTGACAGTGTGGGGGGGGGGGGGGGGCGAGGGTTCGGCGCCAAGGGGGGAGAGGGCAGAACGGGTCGGGCGTGGTGGCAGTGTGTGTGTGTGTATGTGTGTGTGTGTGTGCGTGTGTGCGTGTGTGCGTATGTGTGTGTGTGTGTGTCTGTGTGTGTGTGTGTCTGTGTGTGTGTCTGTGTGTGTGTGTGTCGAGGTGTGTGTATGTGTGTGGATGTGTGTGCGCGGCTGTGTTTGTGTGTGTGCCGGTGTGCGCGTGCGTTTACCAAGCAAGTTTGGAGCCTTCGAAGGCTAGATCTGGCTCAGGAGCCATAGTCGATCGCACCGTCCGTCGCGCTAGCATGGTTGCCAACGGCGAATTTCGGACAGCGCGCAGACTTGAACAAGGCGGTACGTAGCTATGTTCGACTACCTAATCAATTCTTCGTTGTCAGGAGCGTCCGCCACTCGTGATAGCCAGATATGGCGAGACCGCTCGTGCGCCACCAGTTTGGAACAATTAGTTTGTACGATCTGTGTCTGATAGCCTTGCGCGTTCTGTAACCCTGGCTGCGCGCAGGGCTACCGAAAGATGGTGGCTCGCATGGAGGCGGTGGCCGAGGCCACCAGGGTATCCTCCCCCATGTTGGTTTCGTTGTTCGTGCGAACGTCACTGCCTTTAGTCGTCCTTGCTGCCGCGCTGCCGCGCTGAGTGGGATGGAAGCCCGTGTGTATGAAGTAAGAGGTGGGAGTCATTTCGTGGCCTGGCATAAGGGCCAACCCCGACCACTCCCTGCTCACTAAGTGATCTGTCATCGGAGTGAACGGTTCATTTAAAAGAGTCTGTCACCGTGGCCGTGAACACAGCCGACCTGGGACGCAAGCCCAGTCCGAGGGAAAGGTCGAGAGTTCCGCGGGCCCCCGTCGGAGGTATGGGGCGTTCTTTGCCCCATCTTCTGGGTCACCCCTAGGGGCGCCAAAATAACCGCGCTTTGCGTGTCGTGGTCTGGGCCAGAACGGTTGCCCTTCTCACAGGGTGCGGCGCGATGGCGCGAATACAGTCAAGCATTGCGCATCGCGGGGCGCGATTAGCGAAGTTAGGCGGTTTGGGTCGTTCTGCGGCATCTCTCGCGCCAGATCGAGTCCCTCGTGAAGGGACCCCCTCGGGGCCCCGAAGTCGGGGCGAAGTTAGGCCGGTCGCGACTTCTTCAGGGCGGTTGGATCCGAGGGGAGGTTCGGGCTGGCCTATCCGCAGATAAGGCATCTGTGCACCACCACTGCTGTGTCTTCGCGGGGCCATCCTGGGCCCCGGCGTGGTGTTCTGACGCCCTCCAGGGCAGAGGCCGGGCGGGTTTGTATAGCGTCCTGGGGCCAGGGCAGGTCTTGGCCAGGTACGACGGTGGTGTGTATCAGAGGAGGGCCACTCGAGGCAGCGGTAATCTCAAGAGGTTTTTAGTCTTGTCATCCTCCCCCTAAGGCTTCTGGCTAGCGATAAACTCTGCGCGCCCCTGGTCCGCCCAGTCCTAGGAGTAGGAGTAGGAGTAGGATGGATAACGATTTGCCGATTATTGTTGAGGGGGAGGGAGTTTTTTAAGACCTTTTGGACTTCGCGGGGGCCCTCGGCGACACCGCTTGACGCATCCCTCAATATTTGTGCGTTTGGACCTTGTGAGGGGTCTGGGAGTCGATTTTGAGCTGCCGCTGTCTCAGCGCACGCTGTCTCGAGCATGGTGGTCGTGTCGACGCGGCGGCGACCTCGCCGTGGGCGTTCCAGGCTAAACGCCGCCAGCAACCCAGGATCGCCCACTATGGAACGATTCTGAGATCGAAAAGCTGCCGACCGTTGAAAGGTTGGACGATCCATGCGGTGTCAGAACCGAACGCCAGGGTCGTCCCGACACGAACTTGCCTTCGTTGAGTGACGGACGAAAACGGGGCCGACTGCGCCGACAGTCGCGCGTAAGCTGCATGCGTAAGACGGCGCCTAAGCGCCCTCGTTTCCAATGTAGTGTCGCGTTGACGGTCTGCGTAAGCCACCGCGTAAGGTTGCTATGTCTTCGTCGTGCCCGTTTCTGTTCGTCGCTCAGGTGCCTTCTGCCTTCTGCCCCAGGACCCGCGGGTCGTCAACGCCAGGGAGGACATCAACCGCCTCCTCGGCTTGCCCCGCTTTACTGTGCTGAGGCCCCCCCCAGAGGAGCCGGCCGGGGGCTCAGCCGCCTCGCGGCCAGGCCCTCGGCCAGGGAATGCGGCGCGGTGGTTTGCTGGGCTCCCTGCCCGGGTGGAGGAGGAGGCTGTTTGGGGGGGCCGACCTGGAGAGCCCTCGCTGCCACGGCTTGGATTTTCTTCAACTTCTGGTTACAGCGCACCCTGCGAGAGATCCAGACAGTAGCGGTATCGGTGCCTTTTCGCCCCTCCGGGCGGGGGGGAGGACGGGGGAGTGGAGAGTGGAGGGAGGAGAATTATGCGAGACTGTGTGGAGAAGATGTCCACAACTATGTGAGCACAACGGAGCCTTGAGGCTTGCGGGGCCCCTTTTGCTCCAGGGGAAACCCCCCACGGAGAAAAAATCAACCAAAATGGAAGGCCCCGCACCCCCCAACAGGCCCCTTGGTAGGGCAGCCGGTGCCAAAAAATCCCAAGGCGTGACGTGGCCGCAGCGGAAGCGCTGTGCGGCCGCATTGCCAGACTGCTGGTGCATGGGGCCCCAGGGGCCCCATGCACCAGCAGTCTTCGCTGCGCCCACGGATCATAGCGATGGGTGCCGCCGCACCGCGGTCTAACCTTGCGGGCGCGCGTCGCAGGCCCGAGCGCAAGACATCGAGCTGTTAGGCTTGATCCCCACCCAGCCCGCCCCCCGAGGTGCCCCCCGAGGTGCCCCATGAGGAAGAGGAGGGACACCAAGTAGGTAGAGCCCAGGGGCTCCGAGCCAGGGGGGCTTGGCAACGGGGGGCATCCCGAACCCGCCCCACAACGGAGGCGGGGTGGGGTGGGGAGAGCGGGGCCAGGAGGAATACAGAGACAAGTGGTAGTATGATGGCCAGGGGAAGGAGGAAGAGAAGGAGGAGGAGGAGGAGGAGGAGGAGGAGGAGGAGGAGGAGGAGGAGGTGGAGACGGTGGAGGAGGCGGAGGAGGGCGCGGCGCGTCGCGAGTTTCGCGGATAAACCGCCTTGGCCCGCATTGCGCGAGCAGGAGAGGGAGGAGGAGGAAATGGAAGAGGAAGAGGAGGGGGAGGTCGTGGAGGAGGAGGAGGAGGAGGAGGAGGAGGAGGAGGAGGAGGAAGAGGAGGGGAGCGCGGGCGCTGGCGTGCCTCCATGCACGTCGCGCGCGAGGACGAGTTGCACAGCGACGAAGAACTGGACCCCATGATTGTCGACGCGGCCGCCAGGTAGAAAACGCACGTCGGGGGCACGTCCATGGAGAAAGAGAACAGGCAAGGCAACGCAGTCGCGGAGATCGAAGAAAAATCGGGATGCGATGGCCAGGGGCGACGCCGTGTGGGGTGAGGACATGAGCCGGAAGAGCGGGAAACGAAAGAAGCGCAGCGAGGGCGGGTTGTTGAGGTAGGATGACGACGACGCAGACGGCGGCCGCTGAGTTGAGAGCTCAAGAAGGTGACGGCGCCGGAGAAGCGGAGGGTGCCCTGCAGGTCGCTGCGGGGAAGAAGGCAATGGCGTCTAGCGTGCGGAGGTGGACGAACACGAGCTTGCGGATAGCGGGCTGAATTCCAGTCGACGTAGCGTCGTGGAAAAAGTGGCCAATCGGGTTCTGGCGCACGAGTTTGCGGCTCCTGCGAGGGGCAAGAAAACATGCCAGATGCTGCCGATATTCACCCCTTCTTGTGGGTCCTGCGCGGCTGCCCAGACACTAGGATGAGCTTCGTCATAGACATGCTCAGGAAAGGGATTGTTCGAGGAGGAGGAGGAGGTGGGGTGGGCGCGCAGCATAAAGTTTCAGGTTGCAGTTTTGCAGGCCGCGAGCGCGTCAGCCCTCGACGGGAAGGCGCGCAGCGCTGGGGGCCATGGAATCGCAGACCCAAAGAAAAATATGGAAAAAGGAAATGGCCGCGCAGCGAATGTGACAGTGGACGTGGCCGGTTATCGACGAGGTAAGCATGGCGAGCGCGAGCTTCTTTGCATAGCTCGGCTCGCACTTGCGGTCCTGCATGTCAGCAGCGGGTGAGGCAAAGGCAGGACAGGACGGAGTGGGCCGGCCGCTCAGGGGCGTGAGCGTTGTGTTCTGCGGGGGCTTCTATCAGCTGGAGCCGCCGTCGGGGACAGCAGTCAACGCGCTGCCCGCGTCGCATTTGACAAATATGCGGAAGTGCGCGCCGGGCGCCGCGGAGGGCCGCGGGCAGCGCATCTTCTGGGGCAGGGTTCGGAAAGTCCCAGTGGGACAGTGGTGGGGACAGTGGCGGGGGCAGCGTTGAGGACGGTGGTGGGACAGTGGCGCTGTGGGGAGAGTGGTGGGGACAGCGGGGACAGTGGGACAGTGGCGGGGACAGTGGGGATAGTGGGACGGCACAGTGGGACAGCGGCGGGGACAGTGGGGACAGCGGGACAGTGGTGGGGACAGTGGGGACAGTGGTGGCGACAGCGGGAACAATTGGGAGAGTCGGGCCGTGGTGGGGACAATGGCGGGGACTGTGGGGACAGTGAGACACTGGTGGGGGCACTGGCGGGAACAAGTGTGGGAACAGTGGAAACAGTTGGACAATGGTGGGGACAGCGGGACAGTGATGGGGACGGTGGTGGTGGGGCCATTGGTGCGGGGACAGGGGGACAGTGGTGGGGACAGCGGGGACAGTGGGACAACGGTGGGGACGGCGGTGGCGGGGACAGTGGTGAGAGCGGTGGTGAGGACGGTGGTGGGACAATTGGACAGTGGTACAGTGGGGACAATGGTGAGGGCCGCGGGGACAGCGGTGGGAACAATGGGGCAGCTCAGTGGGACAGCGGCGGGGGCAGTGGTTGGGATAGTGGAGACATTGGGGAGAGAGGGACCGTGGTGGGAACAGTGGTAGGGATAAGTGGGACACTGCGACATTTGCGGGGGTACTGGTGGGGACAGACGAGACAGTGGAAGTGGGGACGACGGTCCTGGGGACAGCGGGTGAGGGCGGCGGTGAGGACGGTGGCGGGGGCCCGGGAGTCGATTGCCGGCGGTGAGTGTGGGGTAGGGGCAGGGGTTCGATGCGGTAGTGATCCCCCCCCGTTTTCTGGAGGGCGGGGGGGGGCTCGAATTCGTAATGACCCCTCGGTTTTCCAGAAACTGAGGGGGGGTTAGGGGGGAAGGGGGTCTTACCAGGGGAAGTTGGGGAGGGGGGTCGAGCAACAGGGGGGGGGGGATTTTCGGAGGGGAGGGGGGGAACCCCTGGCTCCAGAGGAGAGGGGGGAGGCATTTTCCACAGTAGAACGGCGGTGGATCAAGCTCTCTCTGAGGTGTGACCTTTGGCGCTAGCCCAAAGGGGGCCGGATTATCTTTCTTGTGGAATGAGCTTGGCCTCGCGTCGGCACCCGCATCGCGTGACGATCGCATCTGAGCGCGCCAGGCTTGGGCCCACCTTTTGCAATCGACAGCAACGCATACGCGTCGCAGCCTACAGCTTGCACTGGTTACCCGAAGGGGGCTGGCCGACCAGACGGCGCGTTTTCCGGCCCAGGACCAGTCCCGAATCCCACCCCAAATCCTAAAATGTCGGTCCTGAAAAACATGGGTATCTTTGGATATTTTTGAATATGTTTAAATATATTTGGATATGTGTTTGGAAACAAACATATTCCGGGCATTCGGATGGGGCCAATTTTGGCCATGACGCCGGGCCTGGTCAGACGCCATCGCGACGCAGCCCGGCAATGCCAGACTTCATCGCGGCGGCCCCCGGCAACGTCAGTTTTCGCAACGCCTTTGAAGTGCCATTCGGGGTGCGCGAATTCAATCGGCGGAATTCCGCGGTTGCCCGCTGGCGCCCCGCCGATCGTTGATGCGGCGCGGCAACGCCGGCTTGCGCGATTGCGTTGGGCCCCCACTGGCGCCCCTGAGGCCGCGCATCAAAGGTCACTCGAGCCTATGGCCACTTCTACGCGTAGTCGGTATGACCCCCACGCGATGTACTGAGGGGCGCTAGTGGGGATTCCAGCGGATCGCGCACGATTTTGGCGATCGTTTCGCTTCGTCTTGTTATCCGACGGCGGATCGTGCGAGCCGTACCACGTCACATGTCATGTCTGCACGTCTGCATTGCGATTTCACACAGTCATTCTGGATGGCGAGGGAGAGATATAGAAATAGAGAGAGAGAGTTAGGCGAATTCTTGATGCAAGGGACGTTTTGCGCTCCCGCGGGAGCGTTCTCCAGCCAAGTTTCTATATGCGACGGCGTGCGCGCAGTGGGGTCGCAATGGGTTCACTGAGAGCGCATGCTTAGTGAGATGCCAATGGGCTCACTGGAAGCATTTTCCCTCCATGGATCTTCATGTGAATATGCAGCGCCACGCGTCTTCTTCCTCCTTTCCCCCTCTGCCCCTTAATTGAGTGACCGCCCCCCAGAGGTCGCCAACAGCTTCCCGGTTCCTTCGGCCCTCCTTTTTCTCCTGTCCACACCACGATGCAGCCGCGGTTGGGGACACCTTCCGCTCATCCCCTTCTTCCGTCCTCCCCCCACCCTTGCCATTTTTGCTACTTCTGCCGCGCTCGCTTTGGTGCGACATTCCGTGGCCCTGTCGGGAATTCCAGCGGAGGCCTCTTGTAGGCTCCAGGAGTGGGGTTCGCATGATGCCGCGCCCATGTCGGCTCGCCCCTCACACGCCTCGTGGCCCCATGGGGGGCTCCACCGATGGCTCCAGCATCGGTGACCGCATTCCGCGGCACCCATCTTGGCATACCGTACCCTTCACGCGCTTCGCGGCCCCATCCTTAGGGAATTCCACCTCGAGCCCAACTGAGAGAGCTCGCATGGCGCACCCGCGCCCAATTTGGCGCACTTTTCACGAGGATCACGGCCCCATACGGAGCTCCACCGAGGTTCTGCCCATTTCGGCATACCCTTCGTGCAGATCGTGTCCGACAGGAAGCTCCACAGAACGGACTCCGCATGCGGATCGCATTTCCTCGGCAGCCTTCCCCAAACGACTTTCCATCACTGAAGTCACATGAAGCTGCTTCTAGGGTTGGGCCCTGCGTCAGGTTTCTATCTGCATTGAGGGGATCTTGGCCTGGCCTCCCACTGGGAGGCCAGGCGCGCAGGGAGTCGTGCAGCAGGGCTCTGGCAGAGCCTCGCTGCACGGCTCCCTGCGCGCTTCCTTGCGGCCCCCCTCAAGACTGCAGGTCTTCGTGGAGCTGCCCGACGGCTCTGGCGAGGACGCGCGCGCTCTCTCGGTGTGCCCAGCCACGGGCGCGAGCTCCAGCATGCCGCCCGAATGCGGTCGATGCAGAAAGAAACCGGTGGTCTTCGATCCCCTGGGGGGGGAGGAGGGGGCCGGTCACGTCACGATTCGTGTCGGCGTCGTGTGGAAATGCCCAGGGATGGCTATTTCCCAGACGGCGCCAGCGCGAATCGTGACGTGACCAGGAGGGGGAGGCGGGGGGGCGGGGTTGGTCACAGGCGTTATCGCAAATAAAAGGGCTCGTATGGTCAAGGCATCGTGCAGCATCGCCGATGCATCAGCGATTTGCGCGATCCACAGCCGGTCTTCTCCGTCCCGACGTCGCCGGTGTATCGGCTGTGCATCGGCGATGCGTCACGCGATCTTCCGACCCATCTACTCCAGCCCCAGTTGGGCGGCCTCTAATTTGGACGGGCGCCTCCACCTGGGGGAACGCGGCATCCCTGATCTCGGCGCGGGTGCTAGTATGCAAGTCAGGTTTGTGCCGCGTCAACGTGGCGGCGGATTTGTCGCAGGCAAGGTCGAGCACAGCAGATGGCCCAGAATCGGCCGACATCGAACGAGGCTGCGCGGTAGGGAAGCCGCGATCGATCAGTGTGTTGTGCGATGCTGCCACGCGATGCCAGACATCTTCTCACGAGTCGTCACGACGCATGTTTGTCGTAGGACTCACAGGTTGCCTATATAGTGCCACCGCCACCCCGACCAGGGGGCATCTTCCTTTGCGGGAGGCTCCCCCGTCTTGGTTTTGGTGCCGACTCCCAAATCGTCAACTCTCTTCCATCCTTCTGGGTCGGCCAAGATCAATCACCGCAGAACGCTTGTCCTGCCCGCAGCGAAAGGGCGGACAAGAGCTCCTCTGATGTTGTGTACCAGCTCTGATGCTATGTATGAAAGCCTGGCACCCTTGAGTCTGAAAGTCGGCACCCTTGAGTCATCTCGCCTATGTTCCGAAGAAGCAAACGCTACACTATCGTAAACTTTTTGAGGTCCGCTCGGAATTCGTGGATCTGGACCCCCTTTGCGGCGCCTCTGGCGCTGTGCGCCTATTTTGCCATCGCGCGTGGGTCATGGTGCAGAGACATCAGGGACAGTTTGGGGGCTCTTGGGAAGCTTCTTGAGGGGTTCCTGTGGGCCTTTGTGGCCCGCTGAGCGCCTGGGGGCTTCTTGGTGGCCTCTTTCGGGTCTTGGGATCCTGTTGGAGGGGTTCGCTTCCAGCGTCGCAGCAGTAGCGCGCTTCCTGGGCCATTTGGGCCGGTCCTTGGCGGTTCCTGGCCCGCTTTGTACGCTGCTAAGACACATGCGGCGATATCATTTCAATCTCACATACAAAAATGATTCAGCCGATTCTAGCCTTTGGGGCAAGGCCCCAGGAGACTCGAAGACGGCCCGAGAGGCCCCCCACGAGCGCCGAAGTTGGCCGAAATTGAACCTAAGAGTGCTCCAGCTGGCTGGGGCGGCTTAAAGATGGCCCCATGTCTTCTGAGTGCCAGTGGTTGTCTTTCAGATTTTGAATTGTGGTGGACATTGTGGTTGTCGGATGCCGTGTGTTCTGCCTATAGTGGGATTAACGAGTCGTAGCGTGGGTTAGTTGGAGTATCCATGGTGAATATGAAGACGAGTAATAAGAAGTCGGTGATGTTGGAGATTGTGATAACTATGAGTGATGACGATGATGTTGTCAGTAGTGATAGCCAGGCGTCAACAAGTATTGACAGAGGCAGCGGGCCGTCGTGAGTTAGGCAGCGGCAGTTGGAATCAAGCAAGTGTGCAATAGCAGCAGGCCGTCAAGCATGGTAAGTTATTACCGTCGAGCTTGAGGGTTGGTCTGGTGGTAGCATCCCTGGAGCATCAAACAACGGTGGGCCGTGGCAGCAGGGCGTGCAGAGCAGACGGTGATAGCAGGGCTTCACTAGAGGTGGCATGAGCCCTAACATGACACGCCGCCCGAGAAGCATTCCGAGCTTGTTCTTCTCTCCACCCTCCTCATTTCACATCCCCCTTACCCGTCATCCCTCTGATAATGCGTAGTGGATGCCCATTCGGGGCTTCTTTGGGGTATCTTGGAAACCTCTTGTCGCCTTCTTGAGGGCACCTTGCGGTTCCATCTTGAGCTCGAAGATTCTACCGAGCTCTCCCGAAGAGGCTCGGTCGAACCATCTTGTGCGCACAAGGGCAGGTCTTTGGGCCGTCTTTTGTCCGTCTCGGGGCTGCCTCGGGGCAGGTGGGGCTTTCTGAAGTGTCCCCGAGGCGATCTTACGCCGACAAGCTTCGGAATCTAAAAACACGTAACTTCCTGAAGGTTTCTGTTGGCTGTTGCATTTTTGCTGCCTCGCTGGAGTTTTGAGCGCCTTTTGGTGGGAGATTGGCGCCGTTGGAGGGTCTTTGGTGTATCTTGGGTTGGTCTTTGGGTATCTCGCAGTCGTCTTGGAGCTGTCTTTGGCCATCCTGGAGCCCTCTGTTGAGGCTGAGAATGGTGCCGGGAAGCAAAACTGGGAGTCGGGTGGGGGCGGGGCCATTGTCAGATCATGCGCAAGATGAGGGGGGTCGGCCCCAGAACATCACACGACAGCTGACAGCTTGCCGCTGAGTCCACATGGCGGCAAATGGTTCGCCGCTGACAGCATACATCGTGCGAACCCCCGTAAAGCATGCCAGGGAGGTGTGCCACCTATGTGGCGCGCCATGGGTTGCGCGGTCCATGAGCTGCGCCATAGAATTGCGTCATGTATGTATTGCGTCACGTCTTGCGCCATCCATGGGTTGCGCAGTTGCGCAATGGATGGCGCCATCTGCGGATTGCGCGATGTGCTCCGCCACCCAGTGATCGTACCGTTGCTTGCGCCGTAGGCTGCTCCACTCGTGGGGAGCGCCACAGGCTGCGCCGCATGCCGCCGGCCCTGTTGCAAAAAATGCACAGGCCTGCTCCTGGCTGCGCCATAGGTTGCGCAGTGGGCGGCCAAGGATGTGAGCGACCGGCCACTGGATGCCCCATGGGCTGCGCACTCGGCGGCCGAGAATGAAACGGTGTGGTCTTGGTTGTGTCATCGGTTGCGCACTCGGCGGCCTAGGAGGAAGCGTCCTGTGTACTTGTTTGCTCCAGAGGTTGTGCACCCCGCGGCTGAGGATACACAGGTCCGTTATTTGCTGCGCCACAGGTTGCGCACTCAGCGGCCGAGGGTCAACGGGCTGCTACTGGTTGCGACAGGTTGCGCACTCGGCGGCCGAACATACAACGGCTGCATCACTGGTTGGACCAGCGGTGTCCAGATAGCTTTATGAAAGACACATTCGGGATTGGTGCACCAGGAAACAACTCTCTCAGGCATTACAAACGTCCATTGTCGTGCAGTCGTGTGGGCGGATCTCCAGGTCCAGGGGTTCACCGCCGTTTTGCGCTGGTTTGCCCCCGCAGGCGTCTTCAGCCTTTGCCCTTGAGGGAAGGAGTCAGCGAGGACAAAAGGAGGAGGACCAGCGGAAACCCAGGAATAAGTAATACATTGTTTTTCTGTTGCAGCGCCTTGGGCTTTTTTTACCGCTTTGAATTTTGAACTCTTGACTGGCTAAGAAGGCGAACAAGCATGATGTGGTCTAGCATTTGGTTGTGGCTTTTTTACGCAGTACAGGACCGTCGTTGTGAATCATGTTTGTTTTAGCGTGGTTTGCTTTCTTGTCACACGCTGCTCCTTGTCTTCACTCCCGTGTTCGCTCCCGCACCCCCGTCCCTGCTGCATCCCGTTCTTCCCGCTCCGCGCGCAGAGCGCAGAGCTAAAGTCGGCCCAAAAGCGCCCTCACGCGCACCAGTTTGGGCCCTTCGGCACGCTTGGCAGTTGCAGACTCTGGCCGCTGCCTCCCAGGCCCCACCCTGGTATGCAGCCCGCGCCATTTTGGCCGCGCCCCAGCCCTGGTTGGCCAATCTGCGCCCTGCCCTGGTTCAGCCCCCGGCAGCCGCAGCTTGCACCCCCACCCGCCGGCCCTGCCCGCCGTGGTGGCGCCTGAGGCCCCGCCGCTTGAGGTAATTCGTCTTTGCGCGGCCCGCTCTGACTCGACTCGCCGTTTGCGCTCTCGCTTGCGGTTGCTTACTAAAAATGTATCCCCAAAAGCCCATCCCAAATTGACGCCCAGGCGAGTTGAGACGATCAGGGAAGTTCAAGAGCAAAGAGGGGGACAGTCGTCATCGTTCGAGGGAGGATGAGGACGGATGAGGGAGGAGGGGGCAGGATGATCAGTTTGCCGATGAGGATGAGCAGGAGGATGAGGAGGAGGATGAGGAGGAGGAGGAGGAGGAGGAGAGGGCAAGCATAATGAGTAGACGCTTCTTGGATGCCTCTCGGCGTCTCCCAGGGTATCTCTTGAGCGCTTGTATGCTCCTTGGATCGTCTTGGGAACGTTATGGCGGTTCCGAGAACTCTTGGGGCGTCTTGGATGCATTTTGGAAGTTTTTTGGGGCATTTTGGAGGGGCCTCTTGGAAGCATCTTTGGGATTGATTTGGGGCCTCTTTGGTGCTCGTTGGAATCTCTTGGGCGCCTCGTCCTACTCGCTCCTGCCATCTCCTTCATCGATCTGGGCGGCCAAAGTGCGACCGGGCAAGGTCGGGTCGCGTACCACAGGTCGCGTACCATGAGACAGAAGAGCCGTCTGAGCGCCTCTTGGGGCCTTCTTAGGATACTCTTGGGTGCTTCAAGAGCGCTCTTGGAGCCATCTTGGAACACATCGATCAAAAAGAGGGGAGCTTCAATTAGCGTTCCCCTTTCGGGAGCCCCCAGTATTCGCCTTTTGGGGCGCTCTTGGAGTGCTCTTGGGCGTTTTTGGGGCCGTCTTGGGGCTCTCTTGGGCCTCTCGTGGGGCCCTCGTGGGCTGTCTTGGAGCCATCTTGAGGCCTCGGAATGCTATCAAAAGCGAACGGGCGACGTTGCAACAATCATTGATTTTCCTTTTTGGTGTCGGAAGGAGTTGGGCTTCTTAGGGGCCTCCTTGGAGGTCTCGGCGGCATCTTGGAGCATGTTGGGAGCCATCTTGAAGCATCTTGTGATACCTTGAACCATCTTTGAGGTCATCTTGGGCTCTGCATCCGCCGAGGAAGTTTCGTGACGGTTTGCATAGGCCCGGCGAGTTATACGAAATTCGGTAAGTTAGGGTCTTAAGGGTTAGCGAGGTGTCCAGCGCGGGGACAGTTTTGAAAAGGACTCCCCCTTCATCCGTGCAACGGGTGCATCAGTTTGCAATTATGGTTGTCACATTCAAGGGTGTCTAAAACGAGAGCCCCAGCTGGAAAAGAAGCCACACTCCATCCGTGCACTCCGTGCACTTGTTGCAGATGTTCAACATTCGGGATTCCAATTCTGACATCGTCTCAAGCGAGAGTCGCATCTTGAAGAGGCTTCGCCCTCTGCCTTGGTAGTTGCTGCAAACGTTTAGCACAATTGTTAGCTGCACCGCCCCACGTTGACAACTATCCCCTCCATTACGGAACATCTGCAAGCCTGCACGGCGATTCTGTGCGGCGCGTAGGCGAGCGCCTTCTGTTTGTAATAGATGCAAGACTTCAAGACGAGTAAGTGCGCGGCGTCAAAGCCCACTCTGATAAGGAGCCGTCTCCCTTTAGACTCGTAATTGCTGCGAGCTTTCAAGACGACAGTGTGCAGCGCGAAGGCGATAACCCCATGTTGAAAACGATCCCATTCAGGCTTGCACTGGCGCAAGCTTTTCAGACGAATGCACGTGGTGCTATCGCGAGCGCCCCATTTTGAAACATACATTTCTTTCTGTCAGTGCAACTGCCCTGCAGGTCGAGCTTCAGGGGCAGAAGTTAGTCTCACGCGAAACGCCCGGGCCGCCCTGCCGACACGCCTGGGGGTGCGGCAGGGAGAAGTTACCAACGAGGTGAAGGGATGGAGGAAGAGACACCAGAAATCCCGCGAGTCCGTGTAGTAGTTCGTCGTGTCCACCCAGCCTCTCGCGGTCGTTGTCGTGAGGCGGGGCGCTGGGCCGTGTTGCGGTGTCCTGGGAGATTGCCCGTCATTGCATTGCCTTGTTTCCGCGCGTGCTGTCCGCGGGCCACGACTCTTGCCCTCCATCCGCGCCCCGCACGCCAGGGAAAGGGGTCCGGCGCCGATCGAAGCAATCGGTGCGGGTCTCCGGCAGCGCATGCGTAGAGCGAGGTGTCCTGCCACGGGAGTGACGGGGAGCCTCGCAGCGTTTTGTTCAGGGGGGCTCGCGGTTGGAGCCCAGGTTAAAAGGAGGGCGGTCCCGGGGGTGAGCACTCGAGGGACGCGTCAGGGCACGAGGGGGGGGTGGGGCAGTTCGGCGGATTCTTTTTGATCCGCACCATCCTTGGCATCTCTTCCAACTGGCGTCCAACACGGCTTACCCGACGCGCCGTCACGCCCAGATCGCATCAGCCTCTCTGGGCTCCGATGGAGAACACGCTCAGAGGAGGCGGAGGTGAAGCAGGAGCCTTTTTCCACTCGTCAATGTGTTCTTCCTTGTGTTCGCGAGACTGTCATTGGTTCCTGGCTCCTTCCCCATTCACCCATCGAGCTGCGTTTCTGACGCCAATGCACACAGCCTCGGAAGGACCAGAGCAAGAACGGCGCACCTCTGTTTACTGATGCAGATGGAGACACCGCTCACGAATTCTGGGAAGAAGACAGGGCGCGACACGCTCTTCTTGATTGCGGGCTCGAAGCATGACGCAACAGCTTGAGTTATCTAGCCTTTGCCTCAGAGCTGTTGTGCTTATACATGTACATATAGATCAATATGTTTCGTCATTGTTGTTTTGTGTTTTCTCTCTCTCTCTCTCTCTCTCCCTCTCCCTCTCTTCCTTCTCTCTCTCTCTCTCCCTCTCTGGCTCGCAATCGTCCCACACGCATCGTTGGGCCGTTGGTGTTTCGCCTTTGAAAGGCCTGCAGGGCCATCGTTGACGACAGGCAGCATCTTGTATCATGTGTGTTTTATTTCTCTATTCCTCCTAGCATGCTTGTGGCAGCATCTGCGACGTAAGAACTGTACGGGTTGGATTTGGGCACCCGCGATCCGTTTCAATGTGCGTACCCGGAGGCATCAGAAACTATGTTGTCGCTTATTCTCGTTCATTCGCCCCCCCTCGCCGAATTTATCAGAGGTGGGGCGTGTATCACCCCCGTGCCATCGAGCCTTCCTGCCTCGAGCGCGCCATCCCCCGTTTTTTGTCACCGCAACATCGAGTAGACTTGAGCTTCGGGCAGCTGCGCGAAGCCCCAAGTTTGAGTTCCGGGCTGCACAGAGGGCGCACGTGCATGTGCGGAAGCCATGTGTGCAGTCCGTGGCACACAGGCACATTTCTGGTGGAACGCCGAAGTGCAGTCTTTCCGTTCGCGCTGACATGCATAACAATGACGGTCTTGACAGCAGGTGTCGGGCCGTCATCTTGTGAGGATGTGTTGTAGGCCGTGTTTCACAGTGCTCGGAGCCACAGTGGTTCCCATTGATTTGGTCAAGGCGGGATTGAAGCTGTTGTGTGACCACGATGGCAGTGTTGTGACCGCGTCTATGTTTACGTGCACGCTCTGACATCATGAGCGCAGCCGTTGGTGTGTGTCACACTGTGTGTTGGATGCTGTTGACGCTTCGTAGGGGCAACAGTTCCTTCAAACGTTTTACCACCTCTGTTTATCAGACCTGGCATAAAGCGCACATGTCTTGTCAAAGGGCTGCATGATTTAACTCGGCTGTGCTACTTGACGTTGCACGCGTAGCTCAAATCCTAAACGCTTCGGGTAACCCCACCAGCCCTTGCAGCGTGGTCTGGTCGCGCCCGCCCAAACTGCCCCCCCGACGCCCCTCGGTGTCTGGCGATCTGGATCTTTTCCGTTGAGCGCCCGCATGCTCAGTCTTTCCTTTGTGACGGTGGCCCGCTGCCGTACGATCCGCATCCCTCGTCCTGACCTGGGCTTGCTGTACGTCTTGCCGGCGGTCTTCCTCGTCAGGGACGTGATTGGCTATTCGAATTACCACTTGTTGCTGCACGTCGCCTGGATGGACTTCCTGGCGTGCGCTCTCCACTGAGCGGCAGCGAGGCTCGCCTCCTGTTAGCCTCTTCCCCTGCTTGGTCTTGTCCTCCTTTCGCCCTCCCTCTTCCTCTGCGCTAATCTAGGCCGTTGCCAGTTTGTACCGCCATTTGACGCCGCCCGACCTTTTCTTCGCCGCGGTCGCGGTCAAAACGTAGCCCCGCCAGCCCATCCAGAAACAATGCCCAGAGGATTTGCCTCGATCAGGGAAGTGGGCGGCAGACAGAGGAAGGGCCCCTCAGTGGAGGCCTCTTGGAGCGTCTTGGGGGACTCTTGGCGGCCCCGGGCGCCTCCTTGAGCGTCTCGGGTGCCTCGCTGAGCTTCGCCTGTTGGGGTTCTCTTGGGAACCACTTGGAGGCCTCTGGGGCGCCCGTCGGGGCCTCTTGGGCGCCTTCTGGGGCCCTCTTGAAGCGTTCTTGGGCTCCTTGGGAGCGCTCTTGGACACTTCTTGAGCCATCTTGGAGCCATCTTGACGCTTCGGATGGCCATCGGAAGCACGAGGGCTCAAAGAAGGGAGCTCCCTGAATTAGCCTCGCCCCTCGGGAGCGCCCCACGTCGCCTTGTTGAGCGTTCTCGGGGCGCTCTTGGGCGCTCTTGGGGCCGTGTTGGGCTTCCTTCGGGCCCCTCTTAGGGTTTTTTTGGGCCGTCTGGGAACTATCTTAAAACCGCGAAATGCCGTCGTAAACGAAAAGGCGAGAAAGCAACACACATTGATTTTCCTGCGGTTTTTGCCTGATGTTGGCCTCTTGCACTTTTGGCATTTTAGAGCCGTCTTGGATCGGCGCACCGGAACCCGACACCAACACCAAGATCCCATTGGAAAAGAAAAAACATAGCTTCCGTTGACTGCCGTCGCCCGTGTCTTCGGGCTCGCGTGTCCCGCGCTGAGGAATGCCAGCTCTGAGCGCGTGGGAACAAGGCGGGCCGTTTCTATTTCCCCAGGTGGGCGTTCGGATTTCCATTGGCCGTGCGAGGGCCGTGGGCCGTGCGAACCCAGTCAGCCCAGTGAAGCCAGCCCGATGAACCCAACAAGTCCCGCAAAGGTTTTTTGGGCCGCACGTGCGACGCAGCGCGCATGGGCCAAATGCGCCGCGCTGGCCTAGCGAGCCGCGCGGGCCTCGTCAGGGCCACATCGGGTTTCTGGGCCTGGCGCGTCCCGCGGACTTTGGAAGCCCCATGGGGCCTGGAAGCCCCATGGGTCCTAGGGGGGCCATGAGCCCCATGGAACGCTTTTCTATCATGCAAGCCCCATGGCCTGCAAATTCGGAGAGCAATGCCAACCATCTCAAGCTTTCCAGGCCCCTTTGGATTGCTCAACCCCCACAGGGAAAACGCTCCCAACTTTTCCAGAGGCGTCTTGGTGCTGGTGCCGGCTTGTCGTTCCCTGCAACATCAAAACCCGACACCAGCACCAAGGCCTCTTCTGGATCGGCGGCCCCGTGGGCGAGTTGAACCCCTCGACGATGTCGGAAATTTGCCAGTGGTTGCGGGCCCGGGTCAAGAGGAAACCACAGTCTTTGGCCCCAAACGCGCTGGGCGGCCGCGGCCCCCACTCGCGGGGAGTAGGCTGTTCGGAATCGTCGGGTGCTGGCTTCGGGCAAATCGAAGGTCAGGGATGCGACGCGGGCAGACAGAGGGCGGGTGTGGGAGGGGGGGAAGGGGCGTGTGAGGGAGGCGAGCGGGCGGGGGGAAGCGTGGGGGAGGGCGGCGGTGGGGGGAATGAGGCTTCGGTCACGGAGGATGCCGCATTCTTCCCTCTTTTCTCCTTCCTCTCCCGAGAGCGCCCGCCAGTGTCGCTTCTCGCTTGCATTTTTTGTTTCCTGTCCTCCTTCCTACCTGCTGCGCGGCGTCTCTTTTCCCCCGCGTTCCCTGGCCGTTTTGCGTTTCCTCAGGCCAGGGCGGGGCCACCCTGGTCCAATGCGCAATTCAAAATTTCGCGGAACAAATACTTTCTTGGTGCTGGTCTCTTCTTTCTGTCCTCCCATTGGAGCAGTCTTGGGACGTCTTGGATCATTTGGGGCGCCATCTCGAGGCATCTCGCGCTACATTGAGCCATTTTGGAACTCATTCTGGGCTCTCTGACGCCCTCTTGGGGCCTTCCTGGGCGCCCTGACCGCTCGCGGGGCGCCCCGTCCAGGTCCAGGGGGGGGAGAAGGGGGAGGGATAAACCCCTTCCCGAAAGGGAAGGGAAGAAGGGAGGTGGAAGATGAAACGCTCTAGACCACCAGCGCCCAGAGGGCTGGCGGGATTTTTTACGTGCAAGGCTGCAGTTTACAACGTCACTGCTTTCGCTCTGCGGCGCGATCCTCCGACCCCATTTGCTGCGACCCTATGTGGGAGGCGTCTAAAAGTGTATACGGAGAGAAGGGCGGCAGTTCTTGCCGATTTTGAACGAGGTAGCGTCGCCGCGGGTGTAGTCTTTGAGGGACAGCGATAAGTCGACTGCCAAAGAGCGGCCGGTGTCGGTTTGAACGAGTCGACGCTCAGCAGCGGTCCAGCAGCAAGATATCGATTTCAATAATTGGGATTGACAATCGTGGTGGATCAACCCACATTGTTTTCTGCGTGTGGACGTTTCTGGCCCACTAAGCAGTTCTAGAACCGTTCATCGCTATATATGATTGTTGTCCGCTGCTATAGATGCGCGCTGTTGCCGTCCATGCATTTTGCTTAGACGTACGATTGGCTGGTTCGAGAGAGCTTGAATCGGTGCGCGACCGAGCGACGTGAATAGTGTGGCGAGATGTTGACCACACATTCGAAACTACTTTCCAAATGGGTAGCATCGGGTTGGTTGTGTGTGTTACAGAAGTGGCGTGTGTGTCGCATAGGTCGCCAGTCCATGTTATCCTCTTGCACCTTGTGCGCGCTGATCGGGACATGTACGAGGACAAGTCGCGCACATGCGAAAATAGTATGTATCGCACCTCTCGTGAACTACCCAGTCTTTGCGCTCTTGATGGCCTTAATCTTGTTCCGCTAGCAGGGCTTGCACTGAAGCTGACGTCCCCCCGCCGCCTGTGAATGCTTAGATCCAGCTGGGCGGCAACGTTGGCCATGCTGGCTTTGGATCGCTCTACCGCTGGTTGCCGCCAGTAGCCCGACTGGCCCCACGCGCTCGGTTGGCACCAGCGCTGGCTGCCGCCAATGACCCTTGCTAGCTTGGTGCCTGTTCTGGCTGCCGCCGGTGACCCGGCTCGTGCCACAAGCTCTACTACGTTTTGGGTGCCATTTCGGACCAGAGTGCCATTTAGTGGCGACAGCGCTGGCTGCTGCCACACCAGCCATCGGCTCGCCGCACTGTCCACAGTAGCACCCTGGGTGATTCCAGCTCTGCTGACCACTGGCCTCACTAGCCCGTACCTCCTTGGGTGACGCCAGCTCTGGTTGCTACCACTGGCCTCCTGGCTTGCCCAAGTTGCCGCTATTGCCTCTTTGGCACCACTGGCCTTACCAGCCCAGGGTGGTGCCAGCGTTGAATGCCCCGATTGACCCTACTAGCCCACGACAGTCCCAGTGTGCCACAAGCAGCACCCACAGGCCCCGCTGGCAAAAGAATGTTCCAGTAGCCGCTGCAGTTGTAGCGCAGGAGCTAATTCTAATCGTGTCTTAGGGTGGTAGTTTGATGCTTTGTCCTGCCACGTCAGATTTTGACGCAAATATTGTTAAGAGTTCACACGCTGACATCATGTCTGATAGTAAGAGGTTTTGGTATGCTCATGCTTGAAGTTAATATGTATGTTCTTCTTATGCACGTCTTGCTACGTAGTTTGCATATTATCGGTCAGTGGACTCATTGGTAATGTATCAATGCTGCGCATCAGGGCGGAAACCTGATACGAGTACTACCAGGCGTTGCCAGTACGCCCCGACATGAGAAAGGGACCAGCGTCAGTAACATTGATGATTCTCGATTTGTATTGGTCGAGTAGTGTCAGCGGGGGAACGTGGCAGTTGCAACCCGGCTTAAATCTTATGGCAAAGTCAGCACATCTCCCCAGACGGCCCAACTCGCATTTCGCGTGGCTCAAGTTTCCAGATTGTGTTCATTCAGTGTTGTTCGAATTGGATCGAGAATGTTCGAGACGTTGATAGTGCCAAACAGCTCTTGACGAGACATTGTTGATGGACCAGGTGTTTGGCATGATTCAGTCTGTTGCAATTGGGTTTATGGTTTGGAGGTTCGCACAGTTGTCACACAATGGATGGATGCATGTGTGACCGTGCAGTATCTTGCAGCATCTTGAGAACAGACGCGCGGCAGGTACCGTCTGAGAGTTTCGCTGGCAGCCATCGTCATAGGGAGCGGTTGTGTGATGACGGAGGATCTGGATCGCCCATCTTTCCATCCGTGCGTGCGTGCGTGTGTGTGGATGTGTGTTTGTGTGTGCGTGGTGTGTGCGTGTGTGTTTGGCTGTGTGTGTGTGTTTGCGTATGTGAATGTGTTGGTGTGTGTGTGTGTGTTCGCGTAGTGCCATGGGCTGTCTCCGACACGCGCTAAGGCTGTGGCCACACGCCCTTCCCCACAGTAGCAATGCTCCCCCCGCCTTGCTGATGTTTGGAGTGGCGTGCAAGATAGAGCCTGACCCCGAAGCATCCCGCTGTGTGCAAATTGACTACATACACCGTGAGTGGGCAATCGATCGGAGGCTTCAGGAAACATTTCTACTCTTTCCTTTCTCTACCAGCTCCCAGCTGGCTCTGCCCAGCACCATTCCCCCTCATTCGTCATCAGTCACGCAGTTGTCGCCATCAAGAGAAGGGGCCTTTGTTTTTCTCGAATCATCCTGTGGTGTTGGGACTTCGTTTTGGAGAGACAGCGTCTCTTTATCCCTTCCTTCTTTCCTCTCCTCCTCCCTCCTCCCATCACCATCATCAACATGATTACCGTCATCACCACCCAGTTTGGTACACCCTTCACACGCGTCGTGACCCCATAGGAAGTGCCACTTAATGCTCGAGTGGCGACGTTCCCATGCATCCCGCCACCCATGTTGGCACACCCTTCACACGGTTCGTAACCCCATAGGCAGCTCCACCTAAGACCCCAGTGGCGACGTTCCCATGCGTCCCCGCCCATTTTGGCACACCCTTCGCACGGTTCGTGGCCAAATATGGAGCTCCATTTAAGATTCCAGTGGCGACCCTCCCATGCGTCCCCGCCACCCATTTTCGCAAACCGCTCACACGGCTCGTGGCCCCATGGGGAGCTCCACCGAAGGCCCCAGTGGCGACGTTCCCATGCGGCCCCGCCACCCATTTTGGTAGACCCCTGGCACGGCTCGTGGCCTCGTAGGGAGCCCCACCTGAGGACCCAGTGGCGACGTTCCCATGCGCCCCCGCCACCCATTTTGGCACATCTTTTACGCGCTCTTTGCGATCTCATAGGGAGCCCCACCTGAGGCCCCAGCGGCGACGTTCCCATGCGTCCCCGCCACCCGTTCCGGCACACCCCTCGCGCGTGTCGTGGCCCCATGGGGAGCTCCACCGAAAGCCCCAGTGGCGACGTTCCCATGCGCCCCCGCCACCCATTTTTGCACACCCTCGAATCGTTTCGTGACACCCTACGGAGTGCAATTTAAGGTTTCAATTGCGACGTTCCCATGCGCCCTGCCCCCTCACACGGATCGTTCGTGGCTTCATAGGGAGGTCCATTTAAGGCTCCAGTGGCGACGTTCCCATGCGTCTCCGCCACCCATTTTTGGCACACTCCCCCGCACGGTTCGTGGCCCCATTGGGAGCCCCACCTAAGGCTCCAGCGGCGAAGTTCCCATGCGCCCTTGCCATCAATTTTGGCACGCCCTTTTTACTTGTTCCCCACATCCTAAGTGGGGTTCTTGTTTTCTCTGCACACCCTCCGCGCAGGATCTCTCGTCCTCCTCCCTCTCCTCTGCTCCTCTTTGCTTCCTCCTCCGCATCATCAACACCATCACCATCACTCCCCACTCATCATCATCATCATCATCATCATCATCATCATCATCATCATCATCATCATCATCATCACCATCACCATCAGCATCACCATCACCATCGCACGATCACTCACCATCATCGGCATCGAACGATCATCATCATCATCATCATCATCATCATCATCATCATCATCACTACTCGCTGACTCACCACTTCGTCCCCATCATCATCACCACCATTTGCCATCAGAATCGCACGATCACTCACCATCAACACTCATCATCACCACCATCATCATCATCACGTCGTCATCAACACTCATCATCACCACCATCATCATCATCACCATCATCATCATCATCATCATCATCATCATCATCATCATCATCATCATCATCATCATCATCAATCATATATCATCATCAAACGCCGTCGTCATCATCCCATCACCATCATCCACCAAGAGGGAGCCTCGTCTGTGAGTGAATTGTGAGGAAGTCTCAGGCGGGAGCCCCCTCCCTATGGGGCCCGCAGATCATGTTACTAATCCGAGCGGGTCATCGGATTCCTGTAACTGTCGTCACTTTTGGGCTCCTCAGCTCTGAATTTGGAGGAAGTATCAAGCGGGAGCCTCGTCTGTGAGTGAATTGTAAGGAAGTCTCAGGCGGGAGCCCCCTCCCTATGGGGTCCGCAGATCATGTTATTAATCCGAGCGGGTCATCGGATTCCTGTAACTGTCGTCACTTTTGGGCTCCTCAGCTCTGAATTTGGAGGAAGTATCAAGCGGGAGCCTCGTCTGTGAGTGAATTGTAAGGAAGTCTTAGGCGGGAGCCCCCTCCCTATGGGGCCCGCAGATCATGTTATTAATCCGAGCGGGTCATCGGATTCCTGTAACTGTCGTCACTTTTGGGCTCCTCAGGTTTGAATTTGGAAGAAGTATCAAGCGGGAGCCTCGTCTGTGAGTGAATTTTGAGGACGCGTCAAGCGGGAGCCCCCTCCCTATGGGGTCCGCAGATCATGTTATTAATCCGAGCGGGACATCGGATTCCTGTAACTGTCGTCACTTTTGGGCTCCTCAGCCTTGAATTTGGAAGAAGTATCAAGCGGGAACCTCGTCTGTGAGTGAATTGCGAGCAAGTCTCAGGCGGGAGCCCCCTCCCTATGGGGCCCGCAGATCATCTTATTAATCCGAGCGGGTCATCGGATTCCTGTAACTGTCGTCGCTTTTGGGCTCCTCAGGTTTGAATTTGGAAGAAGTATCAAGCGGGACCCTCGTCTGTGAGTGAATTGTGAGGAAGTCGCAGGCGGGAGCCCCCTCCCTATGGGGCCCGCAGATCATGTTACTAATCTGAGCGGGTCATCGGATTCCTGTAACTGTCGTCGCTTTTGGGCTCCTCAGGTTTGAATTTGGAGGAAGTATCAAGCGGGAACCTCGTCTGTGAGTGAATTGTGAAGAAGTCAGAAGCGGGAGCCCCCTCCCTATGGGGCCCGCAGATCATGTTATTAATCCAAGCGGGTCATCGGATTCCTGTAACTGTCGTCGCTTGTGGGCTCCTCAGGTTTGAACTTGGAGGAAGTATCAGGCGGGAGCCTCGTTTGTCAGTGAATTGCGAGCAAGTCTCAGGCGGGAGCCCCCTCCCCATGGGGCCCGCAGATCATGTTATTAATCCGAGCGGGTCATCGGATTCCTGTAACTGTCGTCACTTTTGGGCTCCTCAGGTCTGAATTTGGAAGAAGTATCAAGCGGGACCCTCGTCTGTGAGTGAATTGTGAGGACGCGTCAGGCGGGAGCCTTCCTATGGGTCCCGCAGCTCACGTGGTTCCTCCGGGTCATCCTCCGGCGCGCGCTTCCTCTGGGTCGTCCTCCGGCGCGTATCGGCTGGGACGCACGTCGTGCGCTTCCTCTGGGTCGTGTTCCGCACGAGGACGAGGAGGAGGAGGATTGCCAGGAAAAGGAGGAGGGATGATGCAGGACGAGACAGGAAAGCAGGAAGAGGAAGAGGCTGAGGGGAGGAAGGACGAGGAGGAAAAGGAGGAGGAGGAATGCCCGAGGAGGCCCCAGTAGGTCCCGGAAGGCCCAGAAGGCTCCAGGAGGCCCCAAGAGGCCCCAGGAGGCCCCAGGAGGGGGCAGGAGGCCTAAGGAGGAGGCAGAGCAGGAGGAGGAGGAGGAGGAGGAGGGAGGAGGAGGAGGAGGAGGAGGAGGGAGGAGGAGGAGGAGGAGGAGGAGGAGGAGGAGGAGGAGGAGGAGGAGGAGGAGGAGGAGAGGAGGAGGAGGGAGGAATATGGAAACAGGAGGAGGGGAGGAGGAGGAGGAGGAGGAGGAGGAGGAGGAGGAGGAGGAGGAGAGGAGGAGGAGGAGGAGAGGAAGGAGGAGGAGGCAGGAGGAGAGGAGGCAGGAGGCAGGAGGGGCAGGGGGAATGGGGGGGAGGAAGCATAACGAGGGGGAGGGGGAGGAGGTGGAGGAGGCAAGAAGAGGAGGAAGAGGCAGGGGTTGAGGCAGGAGGAGGAGCAGACAGGAGGAGAACGAGGAGGCAAGAGTAGGTGGGAGAAGGGAAGGGGCAGGAGGATACCCCCATGCAAGCTAAAGAGATTCTCATGTGGGGTCCTTCCGTCGGAGTATTTTTTGCGATCTCACTAGGGGCTCAACTAAAGACTGCAGTGGCGACGTTCCCATGCGTCCCCGTAACCCATTCTCGCACACCCCTCACACGGTTCACGGCCACATAGGCAGCTCCACCTAAGGCCCCTGTGGCGACTTTCCCATGCGTCCCCGCCATTCATTCTGGCACACTCATCACACGATTCGTGGTCCCATTGGGAGCTCCACTGAAGGTTCCAGCGGCTACGTTCTCATGCGCCCTTGCCATCCATTTTGGCACCCTTCGCACACCTCGTGGCCCCATGGGCAGCCCCACCTAAGGCTCCAGCGGCGACGTTCCCATGCGTCCCCGCCGCCAATTTTGGTACACCCCTGACACGGTTCGTGGCCCCATAGGCAGTTCCACCGAAGGACCCAGTGGCGACTTTCCCATGCGGCCCCGCCATTAATTTGGGCACACCCGTCACACGGTTCGTGGCCCCATAGAGAGCTCCACCGAAGGCCCCAATGGCGACGTTCCCGTGCGTCCCCGCCACCGTTTTTGGCGCAGCCCTCCCTTGGTTCGTGGCGCCATACGGAGCGCCACCGAAGATGATATCCACAGTTGCTTGCGGCATTCACATTTGTGAACGGTTGGGCCTTTTTGCCAGGCTATTGTTTTCCCAGGTCACTTCTTCCTCCCGAGTAGTTCGTTGACGGCCCTGGGCCCTTGTTAGGCCCTCTTCTCATATGATCTTCGGTGGAATGATGCATACCCCAT